TTGTATGCCCCAGAGTATGATCTGTCTTCATACATAGGTCATGTAAACATAAAAAACACTGAGCCCAGCTGGGTGTGTACACCTGTGACGGAGCACCTGTGTGAGCTCTGGGTTCAGTCTCTAACAACAACCAAAAAAAAGTAGGGAAGAGGGAAAGGATGAGCAAGGAAAGGAAGGAAGGAAGGAAAAAAGGAAGGAGAGGAAGTGGGAATGTGTCTGCAGATGGAACATTCTAGAAATACCAATAAGGCTTTTATATTTAAGGTCAGTAGTTGTGCTCAAGTCTTCCATATTCTCAGAGACTGCTGTGGTCACTCCCCAGACTCAGGATGGCCCTCCACCCAAATGCTGTCTGGATATTGAGATTGGTGACCACATGTACACACACACACACACCCCCAAGAAGACACAAAGAGGCTTGTTTACCCCTATAACCGGGGCTTTCTAGGGAGTACAGGATGCCTTCTAAGTAGGTCCAAAATGGACAGGACAGGGAGAAAAGACGGGCCAGGGGCTTTCATAGTGGTCAGGGCAGGGCAAGCTGAAGGCACGTAGGTGGGGGCCATGTTTGATGTGATCCTTTACTGCTACTAATGGGAGAAACAGCCATGCTGTCCTCCCAGCCTTCCCAGATGAGGGGGCAGAAGGAAAGGAGAGGTGAGGCATCACACACTGGACAGTCTTGATCTGGTGTGGCTCTCATCTCGTCCTGCTCATTATTAAGATGGATACTGAAATGACAATCAGGAATTTCTCTTTGCTGTTTGTCAGTTTTGCTCACATATTTCAAAGCACTGTCATTAGGCACACAAACATTTGGGACTTAGTGAGTTGACCCTTTTGTCATTGTGAAATGGTTCTTTCAATTGGCAATAAGTGTTACTATCAAAACCGCATTGATGTAATGAGAACCACTCATGCCTCCTCCTTTTGATTAGTGTTAGGACGGTATACCCATGACTGCCTTTTACTTTTCTGTGTCTTTAAAGTCCATCTATTAGAGCCACTTTCACTTCCTTTAGTTGGGATGGTGTACCCATGTCCACCTTTACCTTATCAGAAAAATTGTAGACAACATTTTGAATCCTGTTGTTTAGTTTTTTGAGACAGAGTTTCTCTGCATAGCCATGGCTGTCCTGGAACTTGCTTGGTAGATGAGGCTGGCCTTGAACTCACAAAGATCCACCTGCTTCTGCCTCCTGAGTGCTGGGATAAAGACATACACCACCACCGCTGCCAGGCTGAATCCTGATGTTCATTAAATCTGACAATTTTTTTTAAACTGACCATATATATACATCATTACAAAATGTGGTCATCACTATAGTTAGGTCTAACCTATCACCTTGCTATTTGATTTTGATCTTGCCTATTCTTTGGTCCCCTTTTCCTGTGATCCTGTGGCCTTGAGTTCTAAAACAACTTCTGTAGCCCTTGGTGCCTGTCGGGCCAACTGATCCTTGTGCAACCAGGCTGGTGGGTGACCACTGTCCATTGTCCTGTGTAGTCTATGATTCTGCAGGGAGGAGCTGCATGGGCTCCATCTCCTGGGCCTATGTGGGGCTCAGGAAAGGTTGTTCCTTGCTCTGAGTTTTCTGCCTTTGGCTTTCTCCACTTCTTCCTCTTGTTCTCTTTATGGAATTGGTATTCACTTGTTAGCTTCAAGGTACAAGTAGAGATCAGTAAGTACAGATAGTCTTCACCTTATAAAGGACTGTGTGCCAAATCAGTGAGCCATAGTCTATATACTGAATGTTATATCCCTCTAATTTCCTACATTGAAGACCCAATTACCATGTAAATGTATGGGGAGAGGGGGGCTTTATGAAGATTCAGTGCAATCATAAGAGTGGGATCCTTGAACTATGTTTACATGGTACTAGCAAAGAGCAATCAAATGATGCTATTATGTTGCTACATTTTTAATAAAATGAAAATCTTGAAATCTTAAAAAAAAAAAAAAGAGTGGGGCCCTCATCTGCTAAGAATACTATAAGGAGCACAAATGCAATCCTTCTGTGAGAGAGAGAGAGGTCACAGGTGCACAGTACGCTAGGTCCTTTGTACCAACTAAAAGAACAGCTCTACAATTTAGCTACTCTGTAGACACTTGATCTTGGACGTCCTAGCCTCTGGAACTGTGGGCGATATACAAGTGAGCTAAGCAGTCTATGGTATTTTATATGGCAACCCTGAATGACTAAGGCACCATTTGCTTTTGTTTACTACAAGTCAAGGCCGGGTTCCCAGTCTAGAGCACTTGTGTGCTTGAAACAGATATACTCTCATGACCTCATGACTTCGACTGCTGGGGATCTTGGGGGAATGTGAAGCTCTGTATGTCTAGTTTTGCCTAGGTCCTAGAGAATCTACCAGACCTCCAACAAGGCATAAACCTCAGGGGCTGAGCACTTGGTCATGACGGATGTAAGTGACATCTAGAGATGTCAGAAACCTCCTTAATGTCATAGCACTACCTGTGGCCTGTGGTGGTAGCAAAGTCGGGGTATTGTGAACATCTACTCCCATGCTTGGCTGGAGGATGCACTGAATTGCAGCTGTTAACACTTGCTCCCATGCACAGCTGCAGCACACCCTGAACTGCAGCTAGAGACTCACAATACCCAGACCCAGTTTCGGCATGTGCTGATGTTCAAAACCCTAGGAGCTCTGGCCCAGACCCATTCCTGTGGGCAGGGCCAGGCCACTATCAATTATTTCCATGTTTTCTTGTCAAGGCAACTCAGAGGTTGTTGGCATTTGAGGGTGCACATGAATTTGTGTGTGTGAAGGCCGGAGAACGTCAGGTGTGATTCCTCAAGTGCTCTCCACCTTTCTTGTGTAGATGGTGTACTTATGTGTGTGCAGCTGTGTGATGGTGCACTTGTGGGGTTAGAGGCCAATTCTGGATTATCTGTCTCTACTGCTCTCCACTTTATTTGTTCAGACAGATCTCTGGCTGGCTGATCAGCAAGCACCAGGGATCTGTACTCATGTACACAAGCTTGTATAAGCAAGCATGCTACCCACTGAGCCATTTCCCTAGGCCTGCTTATCTGTCCAAGGCAGGGGCTCCCCCTGGCTTGGAACTCTCCAAGTCGGCTAGACTGGCTATCCAGTGAGATCCAGGATCCTTCTGTTTCTGCTTCCATAGCACTGGGATTCCAAGTGTGGGCCATCATACCCGACCTTTTGTATGTAGGTTCTGAAGACTGAACTCAGGTCAAGTATTCGACTGACTGAACCACCTTCCCAGCCTGTTTTCCTGCTTTTCATGTGAGCTTTTAACATACCCCACCATGGGGGCAGGTAGAGTTCTTCCTGGAGCTGGTGATCCTGTCCTCCACCCCCAAGAGGCCTCAGATACCATGCTGGCTGGTTCCTTTCCTGATGGTTCCCACGAGCTCTGGAAAGGAGGCTCACTTTCAGACCTCCATGATGCTTTTCCTTTGGTGGGAAGATGACTCTGGTCTCCTCAGGCCAGAGGAAAGACCATGTGACATGGAGCTGAGCAACAAAAGGGACCTTGAGTCTGTGCCCGACAAGGGGCACTGGATGATGAGCCTCCAGGGCCTTGCAGAGAATGGGCTGCACCCTCCCCAACCCTTCTCACCTAGCTCCTGCCTGTCCAGAGGACCACTGGAAAGGAGGAAGTTTGAAATACCCAAGTCCTGTCTCCCCCAAAATATGTTTTATTCTTGCATTACATTTGTGTTTCCAATTGTGAATAAAAAATGGTTAGAAAGTGGTTACAAAACAGCGTGAGTGGACTAGAGGAGTGGCTGCCCTGGAGTCTGTCACTTCTTCGCCTGGATGATGCAGTGTGGGCCTGGCGTAGAGGCCGGCTCAGTCGGGTTTTTCACTCTCAGGATCTAGAAAACAAAACGGCCACAGCTCACTACAGGCCTCTGAGGCACTGGCCTCTCACCCAAGGCTGGGCTCTGCTGCCCGTGCACACAGCCCTGCCTAGGCACCTGGCCCCTTTCCCAGGAGCTACTGAAACAAAGGTAGAATGGCGGAGCCAGAGCTAGGCCAGGACGAGACTGTGCATTGTAGAGAGTCCTGTTCTCTGCACAGAGCTTGGCTGACTGTCACCTGGGTATCTTCTTCTAAGTTAGACACTCAGCAATGACCACCTAAGCCCAGAAAGACAAGGCCTCACCCCTGTTCCGCTGGGCCATCCTGGACTGAGCTGGCCTTGAAGTCCTGGGAGACAACAGTAACCTTCAGTTTTTGCTTCTGAATAGGGCCAGTGCCAAGATAAGGCACAATGATACAGTTGCAGGGGTCCGAGCAGAGGCGTGAAGTCCAGTGCTGTATCTTGAGACAGCCGCCTCTGGCACAGTGGACCCCATGTTGTCAGGGCCAGGTCTACAGTGCACACACACAAGGCTGCCCATGGAGAGTTGGCTGCACCACCGCAGCGCAAGTCTTCTCCCTAAACTATCAACCTTCATAATGCCCTGGGCCCCCTGGAAGGCCAGTGCCTCTCATACGCCTTAGGTTGGCCCTTGACCAATTCTACTCAACAAGCCCAAGAGCCTGAAAGAGAAGCCCCACCAACCACGAAGAAGGGGGAACCAGGAGTTCCTATGACTCCTACAAACTGGGTTTTCTAGGACCTAGTGCCCTCTGTGAAATGCAGTCTGCCTTCTGTGAGATGCACCCTTTCTACCTGCACTTCTGAAAGCAATGCAGATGCAGCCTGACTTGCAGCCCAGCCAATAGCCTGCACTGCCAGGCTAGAGGTAACAGCCCAGTGACATCGGGCCTGGGCCACAGCAGCAGGCGCAGTGCTGGGAGACAGGTAACCCCCACCAGAGGCTTGACTCCTCTCTCTCAGCCCTATGAGCGCCACCCTCCAGGGGATAGCACACAGGCTGCTGGCTCAAGCAGAGGCCAGGCCAGGCCCACCTGGGCGACCCAGACCTATCTTTTACAAGGCCAGTCAGTTTGGCTTTGATATGAATAGAGGGCAAGAAAAAAGCTGTCATTTCACAGTATTTTCAAGCAAACGTTTATTTTTCTCCTTCGCACATACAGTCTCTTGGGGATCCCATGCCACTAGCGGTGTCATAGTAGGAAAGGACTTGGGCGCAAGAGGAGTGGGAGAAGGCAGGCTCACTTCACTAAGAAGCGGGCCTGGGTGGTTTTCAGACCAGACGCAGAGAACAGAAATCTCTTATTGCATTGTTGTGGCCTGGCAGAAGACTCTGCTCAGCCCCCTGAAAAGTCAATTCTAATGGAATTGATGGAATAGTGTATTTAAACCAAAATAATTCAGCTGGTTCTCATGAGTACAGCTTAACTGTACAGTTCACAGCAGGGTCACCCCAGGCAGCCCACCCTCCAACTGGAGGCATAAAACATTTGCCCAGAGGGAGTCAGGGGGCTTTCATCGCCCCCCAGGACAAGTGTCATGGAAACCTCCAGAAATACTCCGCCCCTCAGTAGGCAGGCCTGAGGATAGCCTGGAGAGGAATTTGCAGGGTAGGGTGGGCAGAGCACAGGCCTCTGTGGAAACCATGGAAAAGGAAGAGAGTGGGGACCCCTGAGCTGAATGATGGTGTTTGTCTGTACGGTGCCATAACAGCCTGCTGGCTACCAGGGCATTCACCCGTTTGTTTCTTGGCAGGATCCTCACGGCTCAACAAAGCTGCTGACACTCCTCACAGGGAGACCAACTTCAGGCGGGTCCTGTGGCTCTGTTATTGAACATGACCAGGGTGACCTCACTCTATCAAGGGTGAGATGGGCTCATCCAGCATTGGCAGGTCACATTGTTAATGTTCACTTTAGTTTCTGTTTTTAAGCGTTTACACTAGAACTATCAGCTTCATATCTGTACCCCATTCCCATCTCTGCAACATCACACAGTGGAGACAGCAATGTACATGTTAACTGTAATGAAATCCACCTTTGCTGATCAATCAATGGCCTTTTAAAACTTGTCTTTCCATCAGAAAACAGAAAAGCTGGAACTCAAGGCACTGGGCTGCTGCAGGGGGATGACGAGGTTCTAATCCTCAACCAAGGACAGGCAGTGGATGTGAAGCCTGCCTGTGCAAGACTGGAGGGACCTAAGAGCGGTGGGGTCTGAGGCAGCAGGGAAAGTGTCTTGCTGCCCTCTCCTGCCCCCTTGGCTGGGGCTCTGTGCCCTGGGCCCATGTGGAGGAGCCATGAGGAGGCCACACCACAACCGGGTTCTTCCACACGATTCAGAGTGCTCCATCTGGCCAGGGCAGGGCAGAGGGCTACGTGATGTGCAGCCGGGGGCCTGGCGTGCTGATAACAGGTGGCCGCAGGAACACTGGCAGCATAGGGACCTTAGTGGGGCTCTGACTGCCCCAAGACCCCTGTGGGTTCCCTGAGGCCACCCAGGGCCCCCAGGACACAGGAACAGGGAGCAGGCCTCCATACTGACTCAGAGGCAGTGCACAGGGAGGGCCTGAGAGGCTGGAGTGGACAGTACCTGGTATGGGCACAGGCAGGGCTGGGGTGGCTCCAGGAACGGCTGTGGTGGACAGAGGGCCGGGTGCCAGGGCCAAACACGGTGTCCTCACTCCTGCTGGAGGCACAGTTGTCTGTGAGACACAGAAACAAAGAGGAAGGCACAGGGGGCCGCAGTCAGTCGGTCTCCTCGTGTAGTCCAAGTGTTGGTATGGGAAGCAGCTGCCCTCCCGTCCTCCCTTCCTCCCTCCCTCCCTCCCTCCCTCGCTCACTACACTGAGGTCTAAGCACCTGTCTGTAGGCCATAAGCTCCAGCTGTCCAAAGCCAGAGCGGGCTTGGAGCAGAACCTGCAGGGTGTGGAAGGGTACATGAATGACTCACACACTTCCACCCAGCCCACACCACGGCATCTGGTTTGGTGGCCTAGTCACAGTTTGCACCTACAGTAGCCCAGGAGGCCTGTGGGAGCAGGAACTCTGGGGTAGCCCCCTGTACTCTCAGCCAAGCACAGTGGCCTTAGAGGCAGGGAAAGGAGCCATTGATGGCTTCCAGAGCTAGCACCTCTGATGACAGGACTGGATATGACTACAGCGAGAGATCAAGGACTGGCAGCCTGCAGCATCTAAACAAAACAGTGGGGAAACCGAAGACAGTGACTATAAAAGGTTTAACATCACAGTCCAGTGGGCTTTGATGCCTCAGAGACAACACACCTCACTCCAGGAGAAGCGCCACTGGAAGGGCTGGGGTTTCCAGGTGAGCACTTGCCTAGCATATACGAGGCCTTGGCTTCTAGCCTCTGGACCATAAACACACACAGGGCAGGATGGAAACTCGCCAACCCCCACACCATTTACAGAAGGCAGTGAAGGTCTCCATGGAGCCAGCAGCCATACCTGCAGAGGGAGCAACGTGAGGTGCTCCCCCAAGGCTCCTTCATGCTTCCAGTCAGCACTGTGAGGGGACCCAGCCAAGGTGAGACAAGAAAAGAAAAATTGCCTATCTGCAGATGACAACATTGTATGTAGAGAAGCCCACAGGAAAGGCTGGACAAGCAAACTTCGCAGGACCATAGGCTTCTAGGCACCAGAATTGGTCACATTTTCACACACCAGAAATGTTCAAGGCTGCACAGTTTATAACGGCACCCCCAATCATCAACCACCTTGGGATGGATTTGATGAGTGATTTTAACACCCTACAAAGAGGTAAAGAAACCGATGCCAAGTTCATGGAACACTCAAGACTGGTAATACGGTAAGCCTATCCAGTTCACTGACAGATGTAATCCACTGCCAAGAGAAACTCCAGTGGGCCATCTAAGACCTGCCAACATTTAGGACCCAGAAAAACCAGGAGATTCTTGAAGTTCAACAGCGGATGACTAATAATCTTACTACGAAGCTGCACGAGGCGATGAGGAGAGTGCTATTTCATGCAGTTCAGACTGGGAAGGAAGGTATCACTGCAATGAGTAGATAAGCTATGGTGCATGCAACAGCTAAAGCAGCAAAACTTTCAGAAAAAAACAAACAAACTAAATGTCTTCCATTTTATGCTCACCACTAAGAAAGTAATAGAGAGGGCTGGGGATCTGTAAGAGTTCCTGTGAGGGGGCTGGAGAGATGGCTCAGCAGTTAAGAGCACTGGCTGTTCTTCCAGAGGACCCAGGTTCAATTCCCAGCACCCACATGGCAGCTCACAGCTGTCTATAACTCCAGTTCCAGGGGATCTGACATGCTTACACCAATGCACATAAAATAAAATTATTTAAAAAAAAAAAAAAAAGAGTTCCTGTGAGGAGCCTCCTGAGCTCAGACTCCCAGCGCCTGCAGCCTGGTACGGTGGCATGTGTCTGTAACCATAGCACTGGGGAGGGGCGGAGATGGGTAGATGCCTGGAGCTCACTGGCTAGGCAGTCTGGCTGATTGGTGAGCACCAGGCTCAGTGAGAGAAAGACCCTGCCTCAAAAAAAGGAAGGTACAGAGGGACAGAGAAGACACGAGATGTTGATGTTTGGCTTCATAAACATGCCCGCACATAAGCATGGGCACACATACACTACACTATACTATACTACACACACACACACACACACACACACACACACACACACACACACACACAGAGGGGGCACACTTTGGTAGAATATATATGTAATATAAGACAAAACAGATATAACAGATTTCCATAAATCAATAAAAAGATAGATGACTCAATTTTTAAATGGTTAATAATCTTGACCAGGCACTCTATAGAAGATGCCTGTTAAAAATAAGAACATGCAGCAGTCGGTGGTGGCGTACGCCTTTAATCTCAGCACTCGGGAGGCAAGACCAACCTGGTCTACAGAGCAAGTTCCAGGACAGGCTCCAAACCTACACAGAGAAACCCTATCTTGAAAAACCAAAATAAATAAATAAACAAACAAATAAAAAATAAAAATAAAAAAGAACATGTGCTCAAAGGCAAACCAAGACAATAAAAAGAGTCTAGATCTCAAATTATTTTTACAAACAATTTTTTCCAACACAATGTCCTTCACATAATATTAAACCCTCACAAGGCAAGACAAGGAACTAAGGAGCCAAGCTGTGGGGAAAAGAAACCAGGAAAACAGGAAGTACTGTGGAAATAAGATGCACCACTGAGACATTTGGCTGAGAACTGTAAACTTTTTTTAATTATTGAATTTTATTTATGTGTATGTGTGTGTATCTTTATGTGTGTCTGTGCAGGTGTCTATGAGGGCAGAAGAGGCCCTGGATGCTCTGCTGGAGCTGGAGTTACAGCAGTTGTGAGTCTTGAGACATAGGTGCTAGGAACTGAACTTGGGTGTTCTGCAGGAGTTAGAATGGCTGGTATTAGTGGCCTAGCCAACTTAAGTTTTTCTTTACTTTAGTGCTGGGGGCCAACCCAGGGTCCTCACTAACACTAGGCAAACACTCCGCCACCAACTCACAGTCAAACCTAAGAATCTTTCTAGAGAATATTAAGCCAGAAAGAGAAATAGTAAGAGTTAAAAAATGAATGAAATAGATAACAAAGGATATCAAAGGTAATATATAGGTTTTTTAATTGGCTCATGAAATTAACAAAGCCTTAAGATATAAGGACAAAAGGAAGGGAAGAAAGGACAGACACCCACAGAGAAGTGGGGAGGCATACATCACCAACACCAGGAACGGCACACGCTCGAGATCATGCAGACAGCAACAAGAGGCATTATAGTATCAAATGGCAACTGATTTGAAAGTTCAGGCAAATTTAGGGACAAAGTAGCAATTACCATGGAAGCAGAATTTAACAAGACTGTCAAGACAAAACACCCAAACAGTGTCAGGACTGGAAAAGAAACCTTCCCCAAGAGATGGATAGCTGTGTGATGAGTTCTGACAGCGTCACCTACTGTAGGCAGTGGCATGCGATGCTCACCGCAGGCTTCCAATTCCCCTGTGTGTTTGGAAAGATCCAAAGCCTAAGTTCACAGAGGGATGTTTTCCACACAAAAACACCCACAAGATACTTCAGCCCAGATAGATTCACCCATGAACTTCATGAATCACTTAAAGTAGAAGTAGCAGCCATCTTCCACAATTTCTCCAGAAAGCTGGAAAAGTGGGGGCACTCCTCCAGCTAGCTCTCCCAAAATCATGTGCCAAGACCTGCCAGGGTGGCTACTCGCCCGGCCCCATGTTGGCCCCAGTTGGATACAGCTGCCACTCAGGAGTGAGGAGTACACCTGCCCTTTCTACAGCCTGGAGACAAATGGATGTAATGCAGATGGAGGTGCGTCTGTCCACAATGAGGGTGTGTTTCCTACTTGGGGCTGTCTAACTCAAGGATTCCGCTGCATGTGAGTTCTAGAGTCACAGGCTCAGCCTGTCCCCTGCTGGCCACAAGGACCATAGGAAGTCACTTTTACCTCCCAATCATCACAGGAACCAAGGCCTAATATTTTGTTGTTGTTATTTTGGGTTTTTTTTTGAGACAGGGTTTCTCTGCATAGCCCTGGTTGTCCTGAAACTCACTATGCAGACCAGGCTGACCTCGAACTCAGAGATCTGCCTGCTTCTGCCTCTCGAGTGCTGGGATTAAAGGTGTGTGCCACCAACACCCAGCAAGGCCTAATTCTTTTGGAGAAGAAGGACCTTGATCATGAAAGCCAAGTACTTAGCATGATGGCCATCTGGCACACAGGATTCCGGCAACAGCTCACAGCCACAGCCACTATGCCTACCATATCCCTCCCAGTGGAGCCTGTACCCATGTTCACTCACAGCCCGCGCCTCGCCAGAGGCCTCCATGTCATGCAGCTTCTGCGTCTGCTTCAGCTGGTTGAGTGTGGGCTTCAGTTGCGCCGCGCCCACCGTCTTGGTTGTCCACTCGTCCACCAGCTTGTGCAGGTCATCCGTGAAGGTGCCTTTCTTATTGTTGCTGTTGTTCACCTGTGCCTGGACGTGCAGGGTGGGCTGGGGACCTGGCTCAGGGCCTGGGGCCAGGCTGCTGGTGGAAGACCCTAGGGAGTCATATAGGCCAGGATTGGTGACGCCACACACTCACTGACAGGCTGGCTGCAGTCATTCTCACACGATGGCTGGGACAATCAATGGCCTCACTCTGGCCAAGCAACACCTTGCTTCAAGAGGTGGTCTGCATCAGTGGGCCTTGCTGCCCAGCGATAGACACCACGAGGCACTGTGCAGGCTACGGGTGGCCGAGCTGTGCCAGGCAGCCTCACTTGTTTCTTATGCCAGGCTGGGGGGAAAAAGACCTTGAGCACCCACCCAGCAGTCTCCATTGAGAGTCTACCACAGGCCCCCCACTGCATACCCCACCAGACTCACACATGTGAGAGCATGGGGAATTCATGGCACAGCCAGATACACATGGGCACTGGCATCCCAGGGACAGGGGCAGAGTCTCAGGGCACTCTCTGGCCCACTTTGCAGAATGCTCAGCACGAGCGTGCCACCACCAGCCTTCCAGCACCCCCTGGGCAGACTGTTCACTGTGTTCCTGTGTATTTTAGTTGCTTAGTAGTTTGGAACTCAAGACAAGGAAATGGTGCCTTTCCTTAGCCAAGCATTTGGAAAGGTGGTAATAAAAGATACCACACCTAGAGTCCCTCGGGTGGGCTCAGTGATACTGGGAGGCAGGGAGCCAGGAGTCACTCTGCAGACTAGAGAGCTTGGCTGCTTCTGTGAGAGACTTTTTATGGCCAACAGAAGACTTATCGAATTGCCTCCTCTGCTCCTCCCTTACCCATGCATGTAATCCCACCTAGCAATTTTGAATAAGCCAATTTAAAATGTTTATACACCTCACCAAAAAACCCAAACAGCTAATGACCATCTCTTCAAACAAGCTGTTCCAAAATGTAGTGAACTTTAGTGGCCAGTGATGGGAAAGCATAAACAAAGGATTACACGTTAGTGATGAGACTCAACACACAGCTATTGCTACATGAGGTTTTCAGCCAGAAAAAAAAAAAAAAAAAAGAGGGAGGGGATTAAAAAATTAAAAAGACAAGAAAGAGCAAAGGGGTGTGTGTGTGAGTGGCCCAGGTCAACTAACACCCATCCAGTCTTGGTATCTCTCCTCAGGAAGCACTCATCGTCAACACTTCAAAGAAACACGGATGCCTAAGGTTTTGGAAAGGAACCCAATTAATAAACGGTGGTAATATGTGAACACTGTGGAGAAGGACGGGTCTATTAAGAGGTGGCTGGACAGATGGCACACACTCTAGGAACCATGGAGACACAAAGAGGAGCTGGGAGGGAGCAGCTATCCAGACAGGCAGAAGCAAAACAGCCCTGCGGGTCAGGGGCAGAGCAGGCCACACTTGCGTGGGAGGCCCTGATGCGCACTAGCCATGACAAAGCCCATGCGATGAGAGAGGACAAAGGGGTTGAAACAAAAAACCCAGATAATTACTACTGCTGTGTTCTTTGCCTAGGCAGAGACGCTTCAGGGCTGACCCTGTAAGGAAGAACAAAGGACACAAGACCACAGGGTTAGGCAGAACAGCACACGCCGGTCACACTACCACACGTAAGCAGAAGTCATCAGTGTGCAGGGAGGGGACAGACACAGGCAGCAGTCGGAGAGGAGGCCAGCCTGGCCTGGGAGAATGGGGTGGCATCCCCAGAGTTCGTGTGCAGGCTCTCACGGCCTTTGCTGAGGAGGTAGAGGTGCCAGGGCAAGCCTCCAAGATTCAGGGAGAAGTGTTTTGTCTCTAAAAGCATATTCCAGAAAAAAAGAAAAAACAGAAAAATAAACCAAAAATTTGCAAAGCACACTGCTTGGGTTTCGAACACCAGGCCTTTGGGAGCCCCACTGGTTGAGGCAGGGAAACCCACTGAAAGTCAGCCACGGGGTCCCTGAATGGAGCCAGGCTCAGCCTGGGCTGGCCACCAAGGCTACCAGAGGTTTTCCAAGTGCAAAAAAGATACATTGTTTTGCAGGTCTGAGGCCAATTCTGGATCCCAGATGGCTGCCTTGGACCAGGTCAGACAAGGGCATCTAGCAGGGATATTAGAGAGTCTGTCCTGGGGTTTATAGGGATTTGGGGAGACACCATGCCTCTTTTCTACCAGTTCACTTTCCCCAGGGACATGGGAAACATCCTTACTGGACCACCACTAAGGCAGCTCTAGCCCCATTGTCTTGAGTCTGTCTGGGGTCAGGTGGGCAACACACAGAATGTGACATCTGGCAGAGATGTATACTGGTATAGAAGGGTGGAGTAACCCTAACCCAGGACCAGCCTGGGCTACAGTGTGTGCTGCTATTCTATCTTAACCTACGGCCACCCTGTGAGCTACAACTGGCGAGGAAGAGCTCAGACTTCCCCAAGGTCACTTGGCAAAGCCACACTAGCACAGCAGGTCTGTATTCCAGCCCCTAGCTCCCTCTGTCCTAAACACATGCCCCAGGAAAGGGGTGCTCTCACGTACAGCACTGGCTCATGAGTTAGCTAGTCTAGAGGTTTGGGAAATCTGAACACTTACAACTTTTCTAAAGGGCTGGTATTCTTGCCCTGAGGGATAGGATAGCGCATAAATGCTGGCCACACCCTGGCCAGAGCTCAGCCCAAGCTGTGTGTACCGGACCTGAAGCACAGCTGCAATGGACTTACTAATTTTAGTTCATTCTGTATGGTTTCTAAGGCTACATGGGGAAATGGGGTGTTTGTTGAGCAACTCAATTTTCAGATGGAAAGAGGGGAGATAAACAGGAGGGATCTGGAAGATACTGTGTGTTGGGAGAGGAAATCTCAGTCTACTTTTGGAGGAAAAGGGGCTAGGGATTTGGGACTCAGTCCTGGCTATTGTTATACTGGGTAGAATGCCAGATGGACTATTGTGGCCGGCCTTCCTGGATTCTAGACTTAGGTGATCATGCATCCGCTCCCATCCTCCATATCCCTCCTGGATTGGCTACAGATGACCAGAGTAGGTAGTGCCAGCTTCTGGACAAACAAGCCAGTGTTTGTCATTTTATGTCAACACGAGGGCTACACTGCTCTCTGGCAGGACACGGTGCAAAGTCTCAGGGGAGCATCCAGGACTCCATGTTGACAGTCCTGCATTTCCCTAGATGGCTCCCAATATACCATGAACAGTGCCTCTACCTGGGGCATCTGATGAACAAGCTTGGCCCCGATCTCTACCGTGCCAGGAGAGGTTCTTGCAGGCTCCTGCTACTCAGGATAGTACTAGGTGAGTAGATCAAGCCAGCCAGAGGCAGGATGGTTTCAACCAGTCCCAGCCAGGTCTCCTTGGATAGTCCACTTGTCCCTGCAGTGAGGTGAGGTCTCTGCATAATGCTTTGGTTCAAACCACGAACCACTCATGGGTTGACAGCACATCCTCTCCAGAGTTCCACAGCCACCACCCTCAGGACCATGGCTGGCAACAAGGACTTCTCAAGCATGGCAGACGTAAAGCTCAGGAGGAAAGACTAGGACATATACTTAAAAGAGGGGCTCCAGCCTGGAGCAGATCCTCACATCTGCTCACTGCATCTCAGCATTCAAATATTGATGAGGTTCACAGGAACAGACCTCCTCGGGGAGTCAGCCCTCCTAGTACCAGGTAGCACCCGCCCACTGTCCCCTGTAGTCAGCCCAGGTAGCTCAGCTTCATCCCCATCCCAACCTCCCATAGGCCAGCTCTAACTATAGACCACTAGCCCCACCCCACCCCCACCTCCACCCAATCCTGATGTCAAAGGCCAAAATACCCCCAGAGCTGTTTCTATATTGAACAATCCTATTCTCAAGTGGAGACAATAACTAAAAACTACCCATGAAGCATCAGTTCAGAAACAAGCTATCTTGGTTCAGTCCAATGTGGTAGGGACATTTTTACTTGGCCTTGAGCGGTATAGCCCTGGGTCTTACAGAGCCTGGAGCTAACATGCCTGCTTTTACAATCCTCAGGGGTAAGCCTCGAGTGTGTAAGGGTCTCCTGTGTGCCTTGTTGGGGGGTCTCACTGGATTCTCTCACCACCAGCACGAGATAAGAACAATACATAGAAGAGGGCTGGGAAGGCTTCCAGGGGTCCCTGCACCAGATCTGAGGCGACTGAGAACAGGATGAGGCGACAACACACTGTGAGACCTCACGTTTCCTGTGGCACAGCGAGAAACAAGAGGTGCCCATGCCTGCCTGAGCATGGGAAGGACACCAAAGAAGTGTCTCAGTAGGCTGTACCCATAGTTTGTCACCAACAGATACCCAAGTACAGCCTTGGGTTCTGACTTGGACCTCTCCTCCTCAGTTCCATGGCCACTGTATTTTAGGATAAGTATGGTGGACTGAATGTCACTGTCTACCAGAGAGGGACATGCAAGTGAGTTGTTGGGTCTGTGCCAGGACCCTGCCCAGGCTGGGAGAAAGGAACTAATATAGGGTCCACACTCCCAGGAGGCCTATGGTAGTATGAATAAGAATGGCCCCCACAGGCTCATATATTTGAATGCTTAGTCATCAGGGAATGGCACTACTTGAGAAGGATTAGGAGGTGCGGCCTTGTTGGAGTAAGTGTGGCCTTGTTGGAGGAAATGTGTCACTGGGAATGGGTTTTGAAATTTCAAAAGCCCAAGCCGGGCCCAGTGTCTCAATCTCTTCCTGCTGCCTGTGGATCCAGATCCAGAACTCTCAGCTACTTCTCCAGCACCGTGTCTGCCCGTGTGCTGCTGTGCTCCCCGCCGTGATGATAACAGACTAAACCTCTGAAATTATAAGCAAGTCCTCAATTAAATGCTTTCTTTTGTAAGAGTTGCTGTGGTTAATAGTGTCCCTTCACAGCAACAGAACTCTAAGACAAGGCTTTCCCACCCACAGCCCATCTCCACCTGTCCCTTGTCTCATGTCCAGCTCTGTGTCTGGAGATCTCTGATGTTCTGCCTGGCTCCACCAGAGATGGTCCTCCAGGCCACCCAGTGACTCGAGCTCAACCTGCCCTTCTGAGGCTTTTTTTTTTCCTTCTCTGGGCTTCATGGAAGCCCAGATATTTTTGTATTCAAAGTTTTTTTTTTTTTTTTTTTTTTTTTCGTTTTTCGAGACAGGGTTTCTCTGTGTAGCTTTGCGCCTTTCCTGGAACTCGCTTTGGAGACCAGGCTGGCCTCGAACTCACAGAGATCCGCCTGGCTCTGCCTCCCGAGTGCTGGGATTAAAGGCGTGCGCCACCACCGCCTGGCTTGTATTCAAAGTTTAAAGAATATTTTCTCACAGCCTTCTGTCTCTAAGAAGTAGGGGTGTCACACACCAAAGACATGAACTGATACTAAGCTTGATCAAGGTCACCCCGGTCACACAACTTCACAGAGGCAGGCATACTCTAGCATCTTGTAGCCACCTGCGTGCTCTGCCCCCAAAGCCCTTCTCTTCTCTCAGCCTCTTGACCAGGCTCATCCTTCCATCATTTGCCCTTTTACGTTCAGGAAGCACTGATCCCCCACCCCTACCCCCACCGCTCAATTCTCACAGGCCTCACATCTTCTCTTGAGGACGCTCTGCAGTTTACCCAGAAACCAGCACACAGACATACAAATGGACGTCTCAACGAGAAGCCTAGATCCCTAAAGTTCAGAGACCAGCAGCATGCAGGATAAAAGGACCTTTGGGGCTTCCTTTCCCCAGAGTGAGCTGGCCCAAGACTCTCCCTACCTACTCTGTACCACAGTGAGAGGTACCAGAGTAGGGGTTCACCTAAGCTCTGCCTGGCAGCTACTTGAGAACATATAGGGGTGACAGAATGCTGAGCCAGTCCAGCCTGCCTTGATCGGTCAGGCTGTGGACCAGCAATCCATGTGCAAGCAGTACCACACCTCAAACTACTTGGCCAAGCCTGCTCAGATGGTCCATCCTTCTGGTCCCCTCTCCCCACTGTTTTTTGTTTGTTTGTTTTAAATCTCAGGCCAGTAACTCACAGTAAAACCAACGGACACCGTTATGAACAAGACCTGAAATAGAGAAGTTGCTCTCAGAGACATGGCTGTGATCACTGTGACAAACTGCCATGCGCTCTGGCCTGGGGACAGGACATACCCAGAGTTCCAAGTGCTGTCACACCTAGTGACCATCCTCATGTGAGTTGTGTGCCCACCAGGTACAGCCAGGAGAGGCATCAGGCAAGCAGGGGCCAGAATGAGGCTGGTGGATGGGAACAGACTCTGCTTGCTGCAAAGATGTGAGGGACGCACAAAGGGAGCCCTCCTAGCCCTTCTCATACTCAACTCAGTAACTGACCAGAAGCTAGAGAGACGCACTGCAAGCCAGATGTCACTGTGCCCCAAGTGGGCAGACTACTGAACAGACAAGAAGATGCTGGGAAGCCCCTGGCACTTCCACATAGCCATGTGCCCTTGATCCATCCACCTGGAGAAGGATGACCCACCGTGGGCCTCTGATGCAGGGAGTAGGGAATGGCAATGGTCACCTACCACAGACATGGTCTCTGGGTCCCCACAAGCACAATGTATCTTTATTGTACAAGCAAAAAGTCATGTGCCCCAAACCAGCATCTCCAATCCAATTGTCAAAAAACTCTATTTTTTTTTTTTTCAGTTAAAAAGACAAAAACCTAAAAGCTCCACAACTTTGGATTGATTTGCCAATCATTGTGAGGGTTAAAAACAAATCACACCAGGGTGAGTTGGTCCCAGCAAGTGAGCATTCGTGGGCACTAGAAACATGTCCCAGGGTGTGAGGGAGGCTGGCACTGGGTTTGAGTCTGGTAGAAGTTGGAGGAACTGTCTCACTGGCTTCATCCCTCGCGTCACATGGGTCAGCTGAAGACTTACGGAGCGGAGTGCCCCAGCTGGGTGGGAAAGAACAGGGACCCAGGCAGGAAGCAGGCTCCAATGCAAGAGCTATGTGGAATGGGGCAAGTATCTATTCATTGTTTTGAATGAGCAGAGGGTAAGGAGAGATGGCAGAGGGGACTAGCCCTCCCTGCACGGTGGGGTAAGAGGGCCAGGAAGCCCTAGCTGGAGCAAGCTCTTTGTTTTGAAGTTCAGGGGATGGGACTTGGGTGGGGCCTTTCTTTTGCATGCTAGGCAAGTGCTGTGCCACTGATTTATATCCCCGACACCCCTGAAGCATATTCTTAGGATCTCCACATGCAGGGAATGGGAGAGAGGGTGGAGATGGGGCTGGGTGCTTGGCTTTGGCTCTACACACAGAAGTCACACCCTCCAGGGACATTAGGGCTGTTATCAGTCTGCTACATGCATGTTGTAGGAGTCCAGGTACGTGTGTAACACACTGGGTATCTGGAGAAGGTTGGGGTTGTCTTTTTGTTGTCATTGAAACTGGGAGACAGCAGACATGTATACTGGCCACAATTGCAACAGAAAAGAAAACTACGTCCAACATCCAAAGAAAAGAAAAGAAATGAGGTGATGTAAGGGTGCAGAATGCCCTGGCATACGTGGGGTGGAGGGGCCATGGAAGAGGTAGGGATGCTGTTGCGCATGATTTTGGTGCCTGGGCACAGCCAAGAGCATGCACACAGCTGTCTGTAGCTGGGTGACTATGGACACTGTGTGCAGTGGGAAAGGCTTGTGGGGTCCACCTTTTGACATGGAGGAGGTGACTTCAAGGGGTTGGAGTGGCATCCTATGACATGTATGAGAGGTAATGAAGACAGGGCAGGGAGGGGAGAAACCAAGGGCCAGGAGGTGGGAAAATACAAAAGAACAAATACAGACAGATGGACACAGATACGGGTCCACTGAGGAATCGAGCACGAGGCTTGCTACTAGACTTATAGGCCCCTCTCTCAGACGTTGGGTGGTAAACCGTCCAGCCTGCAAATGAATATAAAGGGAAGAAAACAGAGAGACACTTATCAAGTACAGGTTGCTGCGATTCCTCCTCCTCCACACCAACAGCCACACCAGCCTCGTAACTTAACATCCACGGCTCCATCTAGCCCAGCCCAAGCACCAAAGCCACTGACCACAGAATGGGAGGAGGCAACAGTAGGAGCAGAAGAGAAGCGGCCCGGAGGAGGATGGGTGGGGCAGGTGGGGCACCTTTATTAGTCACCATGATTTCTCTGGACAGAGATGGTGAGGACAGGAAAGCGCCTTATCGAGCAGCTGCTGCCGTCCACGGCAGTGATGAGCAGACATCCCAGCCTGAGAGCAGAGCCCTTGTCCCCTAGCCGTCCCGTGGACTTTGGAAGGACCCGGTGTTTACCACCGTCTGGCTCTGCTGTGGGAAGCGGGCAGGGCAGGGTAGCCAGGGCCTAGGAACGGGCATCGCAGAACACAGCAAGATGCCAGGCCCCGTTCCCTCCCCAGTCATCGGGCTGATCCCTCCTGGTCCCGGCCACTTCCTGAGGTCCACCTTAGCAAACCCATCACCTGCCTCTGAGCCGCTTACATGGCGGGACAATTCCATTCTTTGTATCCAAAGACTACACCTTTACATTCTTGTCCTTTTTTGATTGTTTTTTATAAAGCTGCTTAGCAGCCTTAGCTGTAGCTCTGGCCCCCTCTACACACACACAGGCGTGCTCCTGGGACACCACTGAGGCCCTACGTGGCTGGCACATGCTTGGAGACAGGCAAGCTGGAAATCACCTTGGCCACGCGCTCCGCCTCCATCACTGGCTAAACCGGAGCAGATGTCTGTGGACAGGGAGGCCCGGACGGAGCAGGGCTGCTGGGTCTGAACTGCCTTGGTGCCCGGGGGCGTGCTGGCGTGGGCAGGGTCCTTAGTGGGAGGGCCTCTGCTGGAGTCAGACAAATGACCTGGGCGAGGGGGGGAGAAGAGGTGACAGGCACCATGAGGCGCCAATGGGCAGGGAAGGGTGTGGCTGGGTTGGCTTCCTATTCTCTGCTGGCTGACCTTGAGGAAGTTGAGTCTCCTTAAGAAAACCAGTACAGACAAGATCCTGGTCTAAAGTGCTGGGGCCAATCAAAGTGTCCCCCTTTACTAAATCCCAGTGGCATGCCAGACCTATGCTCTGCAAGTAAGTGGTAGGTAATGGACGTGGGCTCAAAGCAGCCTTTCTGTGAGTCACTGCAGAGCCTCCCTTAGCTTTAGGATTGGCACTGGGTTTCTATCACTTGTGCAGGTGGCTCACAATTAGGGAGTGCCTGCAGGTAATTCACTAATGCCTTCCCATCTGTCACATTTGGAGACTGGGGTTTATGGATCCTCCCCCGCTCAGAGCACACCCTGCAGCACAGCTCGGGAAGCCTCAAAGGTACCCCGGCATGCAAAGGGTGCTGACTGGTGCCTGGCCTCTGCGGCACCAGGGACTGGGTACCGCTACTGCCAGGCCTGGAGAATAACCCATCCTCTCCCTGCCCACAAAGGCAGCAGCCACCTGACACCCAGTGAGCAGAAGTACTGCGTGCCTGGGTGGCAGGGCCAGAGGAAGCAGTTACTTCTATCCATCCCAGGCTGTATCCTGCATGGAGGAGCAGGGATGGAGTGCCCTGGGGCTTCCTAGGTGCAATGTGGCCCAGGAGTGGCTCCTTCCTTCCACATGGGGCTAAGGCCTAGCTCCGAGCAGCCCCTGTTCTCACACAGGCCTTTCCGTCTGGCACTAGTGTGGAGGCCTGAGGTTTCTCTGGGCTTGCAGAGACTCCCAGTTCCAGCAAAAGGGGGTCCAGGAAAAAAAAAAAAAAACACCCCACACACTCTTGCAGGTTTGGAGATACTGCAGCAAGTCAGAGCTAGCCTCTCAGGCTAACTTGGGGTCCCCCCCAGTACCCTCCCTCCTCAGTCCAGGTACAGCCCTCCCCTAGAAGCAGCAGACCTGTGCTGGAGGCCACGACCTTGAGCTGTTGCACCAGGGGGTTCAGCAGCTTGCCAGCCTTCAATTTGCTCTTGCTGGTTTTTCTCCTGCGGCCCATGGGAGGAGCCGTGTGGAAGAACCCCACGTTGGGAGGGAGTGGCTTGCCCAAGCGGCGGTACAGGGCTTCAATCTCCTGCTTCTGTTGGCTCTGTAGCTCAGAGATTTCCTTCAGGTGCCTGGAGCAGAAGAGAGGAGGCAGGGCGGGTGGGCTTCCCCTGCGGGGAAAGGCTGGGCTGTGCGGGCACGGGGGATGCTACCTGTCTGCAGGCTTGCAACGGCACTATCTAAGCCAGGTGAGAACAAGGTGAAGGACACAGTTTTCAGACATCCGGAATCATGACTACTAAATTGTCTCAATAGCCAAGGAAGCAAACATTATTCCTCACCTATACTTCTGCTTGCAATTAAAACCCTAGGATTCAGAGCAGATAGAGTAAATTAGTAGATGCCTGGAACCAAAACTACCTTCCTTTCTCTCTCTCTCTCTCTCTCTCTCTCTCTCTCTCTCTCTCTCTCTCTCTCTCTCTCTCTCTCTCTCTCTTTCTTAGTCTCCTGTACGCAAGGCTGGCCTCAAATTTGCTATGTAACCAAAGACAAGCTTGGACTCCTGATTCTCCTGCCTCTACCTCCCAAGTGCTTGGATTATAGGTGTGTGGCACCAGGCACAGCTGGCCTACCTCTGTTATTAGGGCTAGGTGTGTTATTTCCTCCATGCAAGGCAACTGCGGAGCAGGTAGAGAAGGGACGGCACCACGTGAGACTTGTGGTTGGCGTATAGTTCCCCTGGGGCTACCATGGAGGGAGGGCTACAGTGCTGGTTATGATGCAGGTGAAGGCGGGTAGACAGCTGGTGTGGGCAGTCTCTAGGACAGCTCGAGGGAAGGATGCAGTGCCCCCCCCCCCCCCCCCCCCCCCCCCCCCCCGCTGGGCCCGATGGTCTCACTTGCCACCTCCCTGCTATTCTTCTGCAGTGGTAGGAGCTGAACCTCACTGCTCTTAGCAGGCCTGGTACCACTCCAACACGGGGCCCAGACTATTTCTTCCATCTCTTGTGTTGGGGAAACAGTTGAAAATGAGAAGTTCTAACCTCTCTCCTGTATCTTCAGTGATGCCCAATTTTGTGTTTTAAGACAGGGCTTTTCTATGTACTCCTGGCTGGCCTGGGGCTCAATATGCAGCCTAGGCTAGCCTTGAACTTGCTGCAATCCTCCTAGCTCTGCCTCCAGAGTACTGGAATTGTAGGAGAGGTGGTAAACCTAGCTCTCTAATTTTTTGTTGTTGTTGTTGTTTTTTGTTTTTTCGAGACAGGGTTTCTCTGTGTAGCTTTGCGCCTTTCCTGGAACTCCCTTTGGAGACCAGGCTGGCCTCGAACTCACAGAGATCCACCTGGCTCTGCCTCCCGAGTGCTGGGATTAAAGGCGTGCACCACCACACCCGGCAGCTCTCTAATTTTTTTAAAAAAGACTTTAGCTCAAAAACAAACAAACAAAAACAACAACAATAACAAAAAACCCCACGCACAAATAAAAATAAAATATCAAAGACCTAGTCAGTAAAATGCCTGCCATGCAAGCATGAGGACATGTGTTTGGGTGGCTAGCATACCTGTAATCCCAGCACTGGGGAGGCAGAGGCAGGAGGATTCCCATGGCTTGGTGGCCAGGCAGTCCAAACAAACAGTCCCCAGGTTCAGTGAAATGCTAAGGTGGGAAGTGATCAAGACACCTGATTTTGGCCTCTCTGAGCTCTTCCTTTGCATACACAAAGAAAGGTGTGTGTGCAGACCTGCACACTGACACGTACCAGTGCGCGCACACACATGACCATTACCACACAAACCAATCAATAAAGACCAAGTGGAAGTGATTTTCCCCCTGCAAATCCACAGAGACACAGCAGTATTTCCAGAGGAATGCTGGCTGCCTGTGGGGCTGCTTGCGTCGGTGGACATGACCCCTTCTTCAGGATCTGAGCACAGCTCCGTTCTGAGGCCTCAGGTGGTGTCCATTCCTCCACTTTCTCACCTCAACAGAAGTTCCACCATGGTCACTTGGGACTACCTTGCCAAGAGCCCCAAGACTGGCAGTCTTCATGCCCTGCCCTCCACACAATCTTGCAGAAACTTTGCAGTCTCACTGTCTCCTCCTCTCAGGGTACCTGTAGTTCCTGAGCTCATTCAGACAGTTGCAACAAACCTCTGCTCCTCAGCCACTGGTGGGGTCTCAGGGGCCACACCACAGGAGCTCCCCCATTAAACTCCACCCTCCCGCCCCAAAGGACAGCTTATGGCGCTAGTGATCCCTGAGCACAGAGGGGCAGAATGAGTACTCTCTGGGTGAGAGGCAAGCAGAGAAACAGTGTCAGAGTCATTCTGAGACAGGGAGAGACAGGCAGATCAATAGTGAGGGAAGGAGGGGAGGAAGGAAAGGCTCAAGAAGGTATAGATTTCCTGACCCCTAGCATGTCCTCCCAGAGGTGACAGAGGAAGGAGGGGTGATATGCCACCCAGAGGAGCCAGAAATCATGCAGGTGGCAGAGAGTGGTTGGCCCAGTGCAAAGAGATTCTAGATGGGGCCTCTTTCCTCAGTTTGGAGGGTAGAAGTAAAAAGGTCTCTTCACTGTCCCATTGCTCGGATTAACACCCACCAGCGGACACTTCATGGCCAGAACCTAAACTCCGTCCAACGTTATTCACCAGGCCCAGCCTGGCTAGATGAGCCCGCCCCAACCATGTCGGCCTGGGGCCGCCAACCCCTCCAGATGCTGGTTGGGTGAGCTCCACTCTGGCCAGACGAGCCTTGCCCCCGATAATGGTGAGCCTCATCATTACATACTGGTCAAGAGAGCTGCGCCCCTCACGCTATCCAGGTCAGCGCCCCCCGCCCACCTGGCCAGGTGAGCCACGCAACGTACTTTTCCCGCAGACTTCGCAGCTCCTTCCTTATGTCTGCGTCCTCAAACTCTGAGTCATTGTCGCTGCTGATGTAGGATGACTGGGAGTGGAAGGAGGTGATGCTGATGGTAGGGACCTTCACACCTGCCCTGCTGGGTGTCTCAGGGCCCAGCGAGCCCGCCCTTGAAGACCTGTGCAGGAAGGCAGTGGCCTTCTTCACAAAGTCACTTGCCACACCACCACTACCCGGCAGAGAGGATTGCTTCTGCACCTGAGGCCTCCTCCTCGGGCACTCATCCCCAGAGTCACTGGAGGCAGGCTCCTCAACGCCAACCTCGATGGAGGAGGCTGTCTGTACCCGCCGCACAACCAGCTTCACATCAGGGCTGGAGGGGATCTCATCCAGGTAGACATCAGGTGGGGCAGAGTACCGCAGGCTGTGAGGCGACGCCAGAGTCCACTCGTCTTGTGTGCTGACCACAGAGAAGCGGCCCACGGTTTTGGCTGGAGAACTGCCGTCCTGCTGCCCTGGCCGCTTATGAGGGGACCCGGAGACCCGAGCGCCACGCATCTGGGCTGGGCTACCCTCTGTGAAGGTCCCCGGGCAACTCTGCACGGGTGCAACCAAGGCTTCTCTGGGAACACTCCTGTTCTGATCTTTGGGATCCACGTGTGTAGTAGGGAGGGAAGAAACAGGGGCATCCTGAGGGAAGGATGAAGCGAACAGTCTATGAGAACCAGCTGTGGTTAGAAACCCCTGCCCCCTCTGGCGAGTGTGTTAAGTCACCTTTACCTGGGGGACACTGGGTGCTGGGGGGGAGTCTGAGGCCACCTGCCCTGTGTCACTGTCACAGCCCAGGGTGTTGCTGGAAGATGACTCTGCTGTAGGAACATGACAGCATTACTGAGGCTGGAGAGAGAATAGTAAAGAATGGCTCACAGCCCAGAGGCCCACGAGGTGGGGGGAGTGGCTGCGGGGCAGGGAGGGGTGACATTCCAGGGGCTCTGGAGACTGAGAAGGCACTGTGGTGCCCTATCTCGGGGACATCACACCCTGGAAGACATCCACAATCCTGGGGAAGGGAAGGGGTGTTGGAACAGTCTTGCTTTGGGCACTCTGTACTTTGGTGGCTGAAACCGTTTCCAGATCTCAGAGGACACAGTAAACAGATCCCAGGCCTACGTCTGTGGACCTAGGGAATGCCTGCTACCCATGTGTGTACACGTACACACACACACACACACACACACACACACACACACACACACACACACACACACACACACACACACACCACTCCTCTGGTGCTCTGTATTCAGAGTGGGACAGCACAATGTTTCTGGCAAGCTTCCTTGGGTTGCTATGAAGAGCCATGGAGAAAAGCCCAGGGAAAAGTGTGTGTGAGCACAGATCCTTTCACAGTAAGGTCACAGGCAGGATGGGGCCAGAGTTAGGCCATATGCTATGGGGGTGGGGGTGGGGTGCGAAGATGCTAATTAAGCCTCCAGGGAGACTGGGGAGCCACCACACAGCAAGATAGAACACAAATGGACACATGGACTCACACAAGTGTGCTTTGTATCCTCTATATAGGAACCTCACCTTCCTGGGGAGACCTGATTCCAGTCTCTATTACATGTCCCCAACTTATAAGCAACACTTAACCCTTTCCTCACTTTGCATACTCCAGTGACAGGGGCTCACCACCAACTACATTCCTTCTATTTCTGTGCCTGTTACAAAGTTTACCTGTTTGGACCTGGATCATGAGTCAGCCTTCTGGAACAATCCCTCTACTGCCTACCATGGCTTCTGAACTCTGAGAAGCGTGTGGATTTGTGATTGCGGGTAACACCCCTTATAGGACACAGAGGCTCCATTACCTCTTCTATAGGATCTGGGATGCTGACCTCAGCTCGAGGCTGGCACTGGGTTAAGGGTAACAGAAGCTGCCTCTGACCTGTAGAAGCACTATCCCAGGAACCAACTCAGCGGCGGCTTGGGTCCACCAGGTGGAGCTGGACTGCCCCTGACTGCAGCTTAGACCTGAGAGCCACCGGCTACTGAGAGCAACCCTTACCTTGCCAACCCTTAAGAAGTCCAGCTGAGGAAGCCCGGCACCTTAGAAGGTAGACCAGACCCCTAGGGTGAAAACTCAAATGTTTGGTAACAATCCAAGAACCACGTGATCTCAGCAACTCGGAAGGCTGAGGCAGGGATCAATGCAAGTTCAAGGCTAGCCTGGGCTACACAGCTATCTCAAAAGAGAAAAGGGCTGGTGAGATAGTTCAGAGGGTTAAGACACTTGCCACCAAGCTGACGAGTTAAGTTTAATCCCCAAGATCCTCACGAAGGAAGGAGGGAACCAGTTGCTGCAAGTTAACCTCTGACCTCTGCATAGACCACAGGAACCCATGAACCTAAGCAAGAGTCCTCCTGAGGTGCACAGCTGCTAGGGGCAACCGAGGAAAGCAGTGGGGTCTGAGACACTCTCTCCCCCATCCCCTTACTCTAGCCTTCACGTTCCCAGACAGGCCTCTTTGGATTGAGAGAGCAGGTCTGTCTGTGGGCTGCTTCATCTCCGAAAGCACGAGCGTGCAAAGGCTCTGGGCTCCAGGAGTACTGTGGCACCTGCAGAGTGTTACCTGTCATTGGAGAAGACGCACCCTGTTCCCGCTGGGCCAGGGCCCATCCTGCAGGGGCCGTTTCTGACTTTTCCAACTGGAAGAAGAAAAAAAATGAAGAATTGACTTATTATTATCTTCTTCCCTCCCCCCCCCCCCCCCCCCCCCCCCCCCGAGACAGGGTTTCTCTGTGTAGTTTTGGTGCCTGTCCTGGATCTCACTCTGTAGACCAGGCTGGCCTCGAACTCACAGAGATCCGCCTGGCCTGGCTCTGCCTCCCGAATGCTGGGATTAAAGGCATGCGCCAACACCACCCGGTTGGCTTATCAGCATCTTAGTAACTAAACCCTAAACCGCTTATCTGTGACCCTGCTATGGGTGGAACTGTCCCTGGCCTGCCCTGCCTCTTCCATATGAACAAATGAGCTGAGTCGCGCCCGGCACCACACACCACAGGTGTGCCACCAAGAGCCAACCAGGACCTGCATAGCTAGGATGCCTGCCCACCTCCAGCCATAGCCAGTGAGGGTGTATTGGGTTGAGTCAAGCTACTCACTGAGGGCTGGGCCTGCTGGGTGAGGCTTGGGGTCCTGTCACTCAAAGCTGAGGGCAGGTCTCCTCGCAGGGGCTCCAAGGTGAAGTCTCTATCGCTTGCCTCCATGGGAGTCCCAGCCGAGGCTGAGGAGGTGGGCACGTGCTCCTGATAGAGCAGAGTCCGCAGTTTCTCATCCAGGCTCTTGATGGTGTTGTCCACGAAGCCTACCCTAGGGGGTGGCCCTTCCCCATCTGATTCCAAGGCTGAGGGTGGTGGTGGGGGAGCAGTAGGCCCCAGGGGGGGACTGGGGAGCTGGGGAGTTGCCAGGCTGATAGTTCCCACTGTGTTGGGCGGTGGGGGTGGTGGCTGACCCGGTACAGGCTGCGTGGCCCCAATGGGGGGGCTGGGCTCTGGCACTGAAGCAGGCAGGGGCTCCCCTATAGTGCTGACCTCCCTGGTTGAGATGGGCTCCCCCAGACCTGTGGAGCAGCGAGAGGCTTCTGGAGCTGGGGTGCAAGGTCCTTGGCCAGTGCTGAGGGGCTGGGTAGCACACTGGGTATGGTGAGTCTCGACCAGTGGCTGGTGGGTCTCATGGATACTGGCTGGTCCTTGATGGGTCCCTGGACCCCCTGCCTGCACGGCAGTCCCTGATGCTGACTCTGGCACGGTGCTGGTGGCTGGTGCTGCCGGGATCACGGTAGTCACAGGAGGGGAAGACGGGGCCAAGGGGGCTGATGCTCCACCAGGAGGGTTGCTGGAGCCTGCCTGGCTCAGGAGCTGCTGAGCAGCTGGGAAACTAGGTTTGTCCTTCAAGGACAGCTGGTCTGGATAGGGCGCTGGGTCTAGAAGAAAAAAGGGAATGATTGGCATCACTTACCCTGACCCTCTTCAACCAGTCCTTCCCTGGCTGCACTGACTACCTGGCTGGGGCTCCCACAAACTCATCTTTATTCCTCCAAGAGGCCACGTTCCAGTCTGCCACTCAGTCCCGTGCTGAGCCCTGCCATGAGCTCTCACCTATGAACCTCTGTTCCTGTAGAGTAGGCTATGGTGTTCTATACCATCCCTTTCCTACCATCTGGCTGTAGATCTTCTCAGGAATGGCCTTCTCTCTTCCACCTATCTGTCCACACTGTTTGTCCATGCTGGACAAAACTTGAACATGAATTTACAAAGCGCTGAGTGAAGCAGTGAGTTACATTTACAATCTTGCCCCAGAGCAAGTTGGAACCCAGAACCTTCCAATCCATCAGATGCCCAATGTTTGGTACGTTCAGAGCATAGAATCGGCAAAGAATCCTGGGAGTGAAGGAGCTGGGGAAATGCTGTGGAACAACCTTTGTACACTGTAAATATGTACTGCTCTCATTGTTAATAAAAAGCTGATTGGCCAATAAGCAGGCAGCATTTTCAGGGCAGAGAGAATGCTGGGAAGAAGGAGGGCAGGGTCTGGGAGGTCTCTAGGAGATGCAGGAGGAGCAACACATGCTGGAGAACAGGTAAAGCCACGAGCCATATGGCAGTACATAGATTAATAGAAATGGGTTAATTTAAATTGTAAGAGCTACTTAGTAATAAGCCTGAGCTATGGGCTGAGCATTTATAATTAATATTAAGTCTCTGTGCGTTTATTCTGGAGCCAGTGGTCCTGACAAAAACTCCGCCTACGGGGGATCACATGAAGACCAAGTCCAACAGTGTCCTGCTAGAGCACCCAAGGCCCTAAAGGCAGTCATAGGGACTGTGATGGGAATCGAAGGGAGGGCACAGGGTGTGGTATGTCTCAAACCCATATGAGTTTGGAGCTTGCCATTTCTCGCTTTCTAAACAGAAGCCCTGTGCTCTTTTACAGACAGGGACACAATGTGCAAGACTAAGGCTGAGGAGCTGGCTCCATGGGTAAAGTGCCGGCTATGCAAGCACCTGAGTTTAGACCCCCAGCATCTACCCAGAAGCCAAGCATGGTGGCATGTGCCTATAATCCCAGCACTGGGGGTGTATGTGGGGGGACAGGTAGATTTCTGGAGCTCACTGGACAACCAGCCTAGCCAAACTGGGAAGTTCCAGGTTCTATGAGAGACCTTTTCTCAAAAATAAGATGGATGCCTTAAAAAAGAAAAAAAGCAACCTAGGAAGACTCCGAGCATCAACCTCCAGCCTCTACACATGGACACATGTAGACTCCCACATGGACACATGTAAACTCCATACCTACACAGAGTCTCTTACACACACACACACACACACACACACACACACACACACACACACACACACACGTGCGTGCAACGAAAACCATAAAAAAGCAGTAGGAGTAGGCTGGTTACCAGCATCCAAAGCCCTTCTCCTGTGCCCAGACCCATGCAGATCCTCCATCCCTGCCCCACCACAGGTCAATAACTGACAAGTTCTCCCTCCTGTTGTCTTGATGGCACTGGCGTGTCTTCTAAAGAGCATACGTGTGTCCGAGGTTTGGAATGTTCTTCTATCCATAGATGGTGGTACAGAGGTGCCCTAGGTGCACACCCAGAGATGCTGCTGGCCATAGAGAGCCTCTGGCTTCAACAGAGGTTGGTAAGCCACCTCCAAGGTGAGGGATGGTGTCTCTCCTATGGCAATTTGTGAATGCTCATGAGCCTTCCTTCTCTCCTCCCTGGGAGAGTGGTAAAGGCCTTACTTCTGATTATGGTAACACTTAACATGAAACAAACCCTTTTAAAGGCTCCAATACATAGCACGGTACTAGCTTGCAAAACTGAAAGAAACCTCAGACCTGCTGCACAGCCACAGTTTGTCCTGTCAATCTCCACTCTGCTCTGATTCTGACTATACAGACACCTCCCACAAGTAGAGTTGCATGGTACTTGTGCTTCTGTGAATGGCTTATTTCATTCAACATAACACCCTCAGGCACATTCATGCTGCTGCCACTGGCAGGATTTCCTTTTTAATGTCTCAATGGCAGTCTACTAGGTAGAAACATTTCTCTTTATCCAATCATCTGCTGACATTCCATTTGTTTCCACGTCTTTGACCACTGCAAATGATGTTGCATGAACATGGAAGAGCAGACATTTCCCCCAGAATTTGCTTTCAATTCACTTGAAACATGTCCAGATATGGGGCTGCTACATCATGGAACAGTTCTGCTTTTGACTTCTTGAGGAACCTGTATGCTTGTTGTTGGGGATTTTTACTCTTTTTGGCTCTTTTTTGGGAGCCGGACACCCAGTTCCCAAATAAATTCACACACGGAGGCTTATTCTTAATTATGAGTGCCCGGCCTTATCTTGGCTTAGTTTCTAGTCAGCTTTCCTTATCTTAAACTATCCAATTTATCTTTTGCTTCTGGGCTTTTCCTGTTCTCTTAACTTCTGTAAATCTTATTCTTACTTCCTGGCTTGCAGTGTAGCTGGGTGGCTGGCCCCTGGAGTCATCCTCCTTCTCTGGCTCCTTGATCTTAGATCTCCAATCCCTCTTCCCAGAGTTCTCTTTCTATTTATTCTCTCTGCCTGTCAGTCCCACCTATCCTTTCTTCTGCCTGGCTATTGGCCATTCCACTCTTTATTAGACCATCAAGGTGTTTTAGACAGGCACAGTAACACAGCTTCACAAAGATAAACAAATGCAATATGAACACAAGTAATACACCTTAAAATAGTCTACTACACATGCTGCTTCCTATAATATCTGTACCAATTTACATTCTCGCCAATTGTACAGATGGCTTCCCATTTCTCCACATCCTTGCCAAAACTTTGTCTTTATGTTTTGTTTTTATATTTGTATGCAAGCACACACACATGCGATGGCCCGAGCATGGAAGTCAGAGGAAACTTACAGAAGTCAGTTTTCTCCTTCCAGGTCCAGGATCTAACTGGGGTCACTGGGCTTGATGTCAAGCACGTTACCCACTGAGTCATCGCACTGGTCTTGTCTTTTGTTAACAACATCCTTTGTGTAGGTTTTTCCCCGCCGAAGACAGGGTTTCTCTGTGTAGTTTTGGTGCCTGTTCTGGATCTTGCTCAGTAGTCCAGGCTGGCCTCGAACTCATGGAGATCCACCTGGCTCTGCCTCCCAAGTGCTGGGATTGAAGGCATACACCACCACCACCCGGCCCTTTGTGTAGTTTTGAACTGTATTTTCATGTAACTAATGTGACTGCCTTCTCAACACGAGCCATGCAGCATCTCCTATGACATATCTGCCCATCAACTGAGCTGCTCTGGTTTGCCTTTTCCTCTGTAAGAGCTCCTCATGTCTGCTGGGTGGGAATCATTGCTGGTTGTATGCGCTGCTGGTATCTTCTCTCTGGTTTGTGTGTTTCCTCATTAAGAGTAAAAGGTTTTAATTTTGACAATGTCTGCTCTCTCTCTCTCTCTCTCTCTCTCTCTCTCTCTCTCTCTCTCTCTCTCTCTCCTTCTTTCTCTTCCTCTTCCTCTCCTCCTCCTCCTTCTTTTGAGATGGGGTCTCAGGCTGGCCTTGAACTCATTATGTAGCTGAGGATGACCTTGAACTTCTCATTCCATTGTTTCTGCAGGCTGAGGATTACAGGAAGCATCCCCACACCTCCCTGGTGCATGTAGTCCTGGAGGTTGAACCCAGGGCTGTTTGCATGCTAGGCAAGCACTGAGCTAAGAAATCCTGGAGAAATTTTCCTCTGCTTTTTTCTAAAAATTACACAATTTTGCACTTTATAGATTTTTAAAATTTTAAATTAAATAAACTTGCAAGTAAAAATATTGAACATAAAAATTATTTTATATTTGATTTATTAATTTTTTTTGGTGTGTATGATGTAAGGTTCACTTTTTAGTCTATGAATGAGCCATTAATCAACATCCTCATTGTAAAGACTACCCAGGCTGAAAGCAGGAATCATTTCTCAAGTTTGTAAAAGAAATGAGGCTGACATTGGCCTGCTCAGTGACCTGGGGTTATTATTCCCTTTTGCATTTCTTGAAGAGATTTTACAGAACTGGTGTTAGATCTTGTTAGTGTGTGTGGAGTTTGCCTGGGCTTGAGAATCCTTTGAGGGAAATTTGACCTATTGATTCTCTCTTTCTAACAGATCTGGGGTGGTATATCTTTTCCATAGTAGGTGAGTTTTAGCAGTTTGTGGATTTTGCAGAATTAACTAGTCCCTTTCATTTAAGCTATTTGGTCGACATCTGCAGGCTTGCTCATTATCTCCAACAGTGCCCTTTATCCTTTATGTTTCTTTCAGTCCTGAGATTGATATCTTATGTCTTTTTATGTCAGTTTTACTAGAGGTTTAAAACTTTACTGGTCCACCCCACCCCCCCACCCCCCCCACCCCCCGGCCAAAGAACCAGTTTCTGGCTTCATTGGTTTTATCTGTTTTACCTATTTGTTCATTTTAAATGTCATTCATTGACTTCTGCTCTTTATTCTCCTGGTTTCGCTGTCTTTGGATTTATTCTGTGTTCACTGCCCTCATTTTTCAAGGTAGAAGGTTGTGTTAACTTTTTAGTGCTATAATATTTCCTTATAACTTTAGCACATCTCACAAAATTTAATGCTACATTCTTGCGTTCATTCAAAAATGTCCTGACTCTCCTAGGACTATTTTTTTTTTTCTCACTGTGGATACCATGACCTGTCACTCAACTCTTAGTTATATTCTATCAGAGATTGTAATCAGTACAATGTCCACTTTTTTCATGTTGGGTTTCTTTTTGTAACTCAGGGTAATTGCTCTACATGTCTGAGAAAGAGTGCAATCCGTCCATGCAGAATGATCTACAAACGTCAAGTAGGTCAAGCTGGCTAACATGGCTGGTTGTTCTCTTCCTGAGAGAGGTGTGGAGGCCTCGACACAGTTGCAGATCGTCTGCTTCTGCTTTTAGTTCTGGTGGATTTTTCCCTGTAAGATTTTATTATTTTGATTATTTTTTTGAAGTAGGGTTGCTGGCTTCAAACGGGTGGTCTCCTGCCTCAGACTCCCAGAGCTAGGACAGCAGCAGGCTTGTGCCACCACACCAGACTTAGTTCTGTTAGGTTTGAAGTTCTGTTACCAGATGCACTCATGTTTAGGGCTCTCAATGTGCTTTTGGAAAGCGATCCTTTAGTGAATGTGCAACATGACCTTTTGTTGTTGTTGTTGTTTTGTTTTTCGAGACAGGGTTTCTCTGTGTAGTTTTGGTGCCTGTTCTGGATCTCGCTCTGTAGCCCAGGCTGGCCTCGAACTCACAGAGATCCACCTGGCTCTGCCTCCCAAGTGCTGGGATTAAAGGCGTGCGCCACCACCGCCCAGCTTACACACTTTCTTTAAAAAAAAAAAAAAAAAGTTTATGTATATGAGAGTTTGCCCACATGTAACATAGATGTGAACCTCGACATGCCGCCTGGTGCCTGTGAAGGCCAAACAAGGGTGTTGGATCTCCTGGAAGTGAAGTTACAGGCAGTCGTGAGCCACTGCGTGGTGTTGGGGACTCAGCCTAAGTCCTCTGCAAGAGCAGCAAGTGCTCTTCACCACTCCTAACCATCTCCCCAGCCCTCACCCATCTGTTTACCTAATATACTATTTAAGTTTCTCGTAGACACATCTATCTAATTCAAGTTGTGGGTTTCTTACCCCATTTTCATCATCTGTGTCATTTCATCGAGACATGGTATTTTACCTGTGTAAAGTCTATCATTCTGTTGTTTCCTAGGGATTTCCTTCCCTTCTGTTTTTTAAGATTACTTTTTTAATCTTCATTTTCTCTTTCCTCTCTTTCTTTTAGGCTATTTGATTTTATCTATTAGGATTCTGAGTATACCTTTTTGAACAATTCTTTTAATGGTCATGCTAGGAATTCCAAAGCACACCGTCAACTCTGCAATCTTCTTAGGCTTGGTTGGAACACACACTCCACTCAGAGCCCTTCAGCTGGAACCCGGAAGCCTTACAAACACAAGCTCACTTCGCCTGCCTTCCTGCAGCTGTGTTGCATATCTACATATGTGGACAGCTCATCTGCTGTTATGGGTCTGAAATTTCAACTGCCACGTTTCAAAGGACTCAAGAGGAGAATGGTCTGTTACACACACACACACACACACACACACACACACTCACTGTTGTTCTTCCTTTGTCCTGATGGTACTACTGGGATTGTCTCCCTTCTGTCTGAAGATCCTGAATTTTGCAAAGTAGGTGCACTGACAGCAAATTCTCTTAGCCATCTTAATTGAGAATGGCAACAGTGTATCTCTGTTTCTAAGGGGCATTTTCTCCCAAGACAGAGCTTGGTCATCAGTCTTTCCATTCACCACCTTTCAAATGCTGTCGGGGTGCTTCTGGACATCATGGCTTCTGCTGAGAAACCTGCAGCCATGTGGATATCCCCTTCCTTTAGGCGACACATCATTCTGCTGGCTGCCTTCACCTTTTCCTTTTTAGTTTCCAGTAGACCAATGCCGTGTTCAGGCACGGTGTTCTCCAGTCTCACCTGCTTGGAGTTTGCTTAGCTTCCTGAGGACCCAGGTTCCGCCCCTGGCCAATCTCAGAGGTGCTTCAGCATTAATTTCTCTACATCTTTTTTCTGTACGTTTTCCTCTCCTGAACTCTGGCATGTCAGAGGCTTCGGCAGGTTCTGGAAACTCTGCTACTTTACCCTACTTTTCTTCCCTGTGTTCCAGTCAGATAATTTGGATATTTTAATTTTTAGCGCTAAAACTTGCATGCATTTGTTTCTTCTCTGTGTCTGTTTTTCACTGACACCTTCTCCTTAAGATTTATTTCAAGAATGTTTGTGATTGTCCAGACACATTTATAATGGCTGCTTTGAGCTTCTGGATCATCCAATATCTGTGTCACCTTGTTACTGGTTAGGTTGGCTTTTTCCATGAAGCTGACATTTCCTAGGTTTCTACTCGCCAAGTAATTTTGGTTCTATCCTCAATATCTTGAATAACATATGAAACCTTAAAGTTTTTTGGCTGCTATGGTGAATGCTGGTATTTCTTGCTTTAGCAGATGGCCAACATGACCAGGGGTAGTAACCTGCAAATGGCAGACTGCTTTCCATGGGCCATGGTTACAAGTTGGTTCGATTTTCAACACTTATGCAGGACTAATCTATTTGAAACTGGTACAGTCACTTAGAGGCCAGTCAGGAAACTAGGTGGGGTTTATCCCTTAGCTTAGTTCCCAGTTTTATATGCTAATTGGGGTGCCACCCGCACACATACACACACCAGCTGAGGGTGCATCAAAGTGTTCAGCCTAGTGAGACTACATTCCAAGTCTCCCCCATTTTGTGCCTTTGTGATATTCTTGGTTCCCTTGGACTTCCTGCTCTGAACCACTGGTCAGAAACCAGCCAACATTATGACTGCTCCAAGAGGGCCAGGCAGCAGAGAACGTAAGAAAATCAGCAGGCTTCAGGTGTGTGCTCCTGTAGCTCTAGCGCTCTCGAGGTTCAGCTGGCTGCAGGCCCCCATAACTTGCTGCTGCCCCATGGAGTTCCTCTCTGCGGGCCTGCCTCTTTCAGCAGGCCGTGCCCTCACTGAGACACAGCTGCAGCAGGGCCACACAGAGTGCCTGCACTTTAGACCTCTTCTCTCTACAGTGTGACAGTTGCAGACTTTCTCAGACACCCCTGTAGGATGGGAGATGCTCTCAATGGCAAAGGGGCCAAGACTGGTCTTGTATCTGGCTTCTGTTCCCTACTAACTAGGGTCTGATACATTTCCACTGTCTTCAGATTTCCAGTGCCTTTAAAGTGTAATTTTCTTTCTTTGTTTCTTTCTTTCTTTGTTTCTTTCTTTCTTTGTTTCTTTCTTTCTTTTTTTTTGGTTTTTCGAGACAAGGTTTCTCTGTGTAGTTTTGGTCCCTGTCCTGGATCTCGCTCTGTAGATCTGGCTGGCCTCGAACTAACAGAGATCCACCTGCCTCTGCCTCCTGAGTGCTGGAATTAAAAACATGCAGCACCACTGCCTGGCTAAAGTGTAATTTTCATAATTCATCAAGTTTTTTGGTCCTCCTTTGTGGATAGTTAATTCAAATGAACACATCTGTCACCCACTTCTCCATTCAAGACCCCCACCATATACAAACTTGCTATAAATAGTTTCCAGGATCACTCAGCATGTAGATAAGGGTGAGGATTTAACTCCGTACTTAGCCCCACATCTCTATTCATTAATGACATACCGCACTGTGGCACTCCACAGTCCTTCTACCCGATGACACACGGAAATTTATCCGCCTCGTGACAGTTCATCCTTCTAAGTATCATAAAAATCAAGACTTAACCAACAGTGCTGAAGGGTAAGTTTACAGACATCTGTGGGGATAGGTGCAAGCAGCCTCAGGAGCAGAAGAATAGCACCATTATCCACGTGACAATTGAGAATGAGGTCTTCTCAGAATCCCACCTCCCCATGCAAAGCAAGGTTCAGAGAGCCTGTTCACCGTGGGTGTACTGCAAGGTGACAAAGACAGGCAGGAGGATCACTAGGTAGTACTGAGTAGGAAGGGCCAGAGCCCATCAGCACACAATCACCTGAGTGGTGAAGATAATACGGCCAGCTCAAGTACATGCTGTCTGGTGGCTGATCCAGGAGAAAACAGGGAGAAAGGGTAACGTGGCCCCGTCAGCTGCCCTTTGGAGGGACAGTATGGAGTGCCAGCAGTCCCTTGCATGATGCCGGTTACCCAACGCATCCTAGGACAGGCCTGCATGGACGGGAGCTTCTAGGTTGCCACAGAAGGGGGTCTGGGCTCTGTGTACTCCTACCTTGGCTGGCTTCTGGCTGTAAGGAGCTTAGAGGAAGTGGGGGTGATGACTCAGAAGTGTCTGTTGCTGGGTGTTCAGCCACTGGACAGATGATAAACCACCTCTTTCCCGTGTGCAAGACTGAGAAACAGAGCATAAAGAGGTGCTGAGAGGGAGCCAGTACTTCTAGGCCAGGGACCCTACTACTGTACCAGACCCCATGACAAGCTCTAGGAAGTGCATTCCACCTCTGGAGGCTCCTCCAGAAGGAGTGGGCAGGGGATTCAGCTCTCACTTATAATCCTGAACAGCTTCACTCCATGACTCAGGCGGCCCTCCAGGCCCCTTGATAAGGAGGCCTTAGGAAAGGGCTTCCATCTGCTCCTCTCGACCAGAAGGGCACAGGGTGGGGACTCAGCTCAGGGAGCCTCACTGGCAGCTGCAGACTCTCGGAAGAGCCTGATTCAGTTCTTGGGGTGCCTGTAGCACCAGCCTTGAAGGAAGTGATGGCAGCTAGTAGTTGGTGGCTGCTGGGACAGGGTAGCCATTACCAGCTGAGAGCGCCTCATTACCACTCCCACAATCCTTCCGGTGCAGTGGCCAAAGTCTTTGCTGCTATGCTCAACAGGGACCTTCAGTCAAATGCCTGCTTTAGAGCACAGAGGGCGCGGGGAAAGGTTCTTCCCTAAGGCTGGCTACTCTGCAGGTACAGCTGCCGGGACAGGCTTACCATTCTGCTGATAGACAGGGGCGTTGGCTTGGGACTGTCCGTTCTCCTGCATGAGGGAAATGGATTGCAGGTCAGCAGCCATGCTCACTGAGAGCTTACTCCTGAGCCTCCTGCCTGCTGCATCTACCAGCATGCCCTGGGGACCTGGGCTCTCACCTCCCCCGTGGCCAGACCACAGGTACCCGGGTGTGGAGGGCTGGTCCCTGTGTCAGAGCCATGATCAGCATCTGTGTCCTCACTGAGCATGTCTTCCGCCTTGTCCATGACATCCTTCATCTGTTCGATGAATGTCTCTCGCTCGGCGGGCAGGATGAAGTCATGCTCTACCTGCAAAGGGACATGGGACTGCTGGTGACAACCTTCCATAGACCATGACTGCATGGGGACTCTATCGGGGATATACATACCTCTATCCTGCCCTAGGTCCCAAGGGAAGGCATGACAAAGGCTGTGTCCCCTGGTCAGAGCTGAACAGCCAAGGGAGAAAACTGACGGCCCCAGAGACACAGGAATGCAGTTGAGGCTGAAAATGCTACCCCACACAACCAGATAGTCCCATGTGGCACTGCTTTCCTAGAGCAAGAGCTGGTCATGGAACCCCAGGCTAGCCCAACAATCTCCAAGAAAGATAGGTGCACTAGTCCTGGTTCTAGTGTTGAGGGCCTAATTGGGACACAGCACTAGACAAGGAGCCACACCTATTTCCCTAGAATAATAATAATTATTATTATTATTAATTATTTAAGACAGGGTCTCACTGAGTAGCCTTGGCTGTCCTGGAACTCACAACATACACCAGGCTAGCCTCTAACTCACATAGATACCCTGCCTCTGTCTCCCAAGTGCTGAGATTAAAGGCGTGCACCACTGTGACTGGTTCCCCAGAAATCTTTCCGACTGACCTTCTTCACAAGTCATCTTCACAGAGCTCTTGCCCTATAGCCACACGACTCTTCTAAATGCTAAGTCCAGACAGCTCTTGTCAAGTTGGCCAAGCTGGGCTCAGCTGAACTGACGCTCTAGGTAGATGTCTGGTCCTAGCCTTGCTGCTGTCCCACTAAGAACAGCACCACCATCTCTCCAAATAACAGTCTTGGACCTTGGCAGCCGAGCACAGGGCTGTGCAGCATCCACTCATGTCAGAAAGTATCCTCGCGGCAGGCCAGGACTGAGGCCAGGAACCCACGGTTCTATCTATACTGCCTCCACTGGCTGGCTCCTCATGGCCAAGGAGCTCTTGTGGAATGACTGTCTTCCACCCTTCACCCAGCAGTGGGGACAAAAGCAGCCCAGGCCTGGGGTGTGGGGGAGACTGGAAGGCACCATAGCCTGGATATCAGGGCCTCTGGGCTGGGCTCACCAGAATACAGCCACTGTCCTTAATGTTCCTGTGGGTGGCCTTGGCCCACTGTGTCTTGGCTACCCCAGGCAGATTCGGCATGATTTGCCCCTCCTGGTACAAAGAGCTCCAGAAGAGAAGTCAGCTTCCTCTTTCCCAGGGCTCTCCAGTATCTCTGCCCTTTCTAGCCACAGCATTTTCTTCCCATCCATACATGTGTGTAGCTTCACACAGGCCTGGACCATCCGCCCTCTGTGGGTGGCCCTGTAGCTGCTACAAGGAGATAGCTGAGGTGCAGAATTCTCCCAGCCACCTAGGCAACACCCCTGAAGCATGGCCACTCTCCCAGGCGAGGCTGAGGCTGCCCGAGGCAGAGTGCAGAGGAGTCAGAGCACCCAAGGTGTGTGACACGGGCAGAGGCATGCAAGACCATATGGAGTGTTCTAAATCTGTGCAAAACGGAACACAAGCTCCTACAGCTTCCTGATAGGTATATGTTTCTTCTTTTTCAAAAGAAATTAAAGAGATCAAAAATAAATTTAAAAATAAAACAGAGAAAAAACTAAAATTTCAGGGTTCAAGTATAAATTTAAATCAAAGCCAAGTTAATTCAAACATCTGGTTTCCCTGAGCCCATGACCCAAGCAATGGAGCATCCCTCAAGCAGTAAGATGGTCCCAGATGGGGCAATGCTTGTCTGAAAAAAACCTGTGAAGATTAATATTACCGAAATCAAAGGACTTGGAATTGCCTAGGAGACAAACCTCTGGGCACATGTATGATCGAGTTCCTACCTTAGGCTTACTGAGGTGGAAGATTCATCATAAATGTGGGGGGCACGTTCGTGGACTAGAGTCCCAGACTGCATGCAAAGGAAAAAGGTAGCTGGGCACCAGCATTCCTCTCTCTCTGCTTCCTGACTGTGGTGCAGTGTGAGCAGCTCCTGTTGCCATGGCCTTCAACACCATGTCGTGAGCTAAACACGTCTTCCTTACTGTTATCAGGCATCTGTCACAGCAGTGAGACACGTACCTAGCACAGCACCCTATCCACCATCTACACCTGTGCTTTCCTGGAGACAAGTACCTAACACAGCACCCTATCCACCATCTACACCTGTGCTTCCCTGGAGACAAGTACCTAACACAGCACCCTATCCACCATCTACACCTGTGCTTCCCTGGAGACAAGTACCTAACACAGCACCCTATCCACCATCTATACCTGTGCTTCCCTGGAGACAAGTACCTAACACAGCACCCTACCCACCATCTACACCTGTGCTTCCCTGGAGACAAGTACCTAACACAGCACCCTATCCACCATCTACACCTGTGCTTCCCTGGAGACAAGTACCTAACACAGCACCCTACCCACCATCTACACCTGTGCTTCCCTGGAGACAAGTACCTAACACAGCACCCTACCCACCATCTACACCTGTGCTTCCCTGGAGACAAGTACCTAACACAGCACCCTAGCCACCATCTACACCTGTGCTTCCCTGGAGACAAGTACCTAACACAGCACCCTATCCACCATCTACACCTATGCTTCCCTGGAGCCTCCTGGTGCCTCCCACCCCGACGCAGGAACAGGGAACAAGGCAGAGCACCATCAGGAAGCAGGGACTGCATATGGACTGTCTGTGCACTTACATCCTGCTTAGTTGGGGAAAAGCTTTCAGATAACTTGGCTTTAAAATGTGTGATTCAATCCTCTCCACAGTTCACAATAGAATGAGAAGAGAGAGGGTCAGGGCATCCGGGGACCTAAGACTAAAAAGATGCAAGTTTGCAAAGCTCAACAAGATAACAACTGACAGAGAAACTGTGCAGGGGCCTTTCATGTGTGGTGCTGGAGAAGATGAACACACACATACATGCATTCATGCACACACACACACACACACACACACACAGAACAAGCTACTGAAAACAAGTGGACAGGAACATGTGGACACAGAATTCCTAATCACTGTGCTGTGAGAGCAAGAAGGGGAACTGCAGAAACAGGGTAAGTGGGCAGCATGGCAGACACAGGCTGGGGGACCACTTCATGGGCATTTTTTGCATTATTATTGTGCTTCTATACCTCAGTCTAGAAACGTTTTTGCCCTGCAAGTACAAAGACTTGAATTTGATACCCAGGACTCACACAGAAAAAGAAAAAAATATATCATATGTGGTGGCATCCTTGTAATTCCACTCTTGAGGAGGTGCCTAAGGAATGGCACCTAAAGTTGTCTTACAGTCTACACACCCAACGTGCACACATGCATAAATAACACAAAGTACATATGTTGTGGAATGCTTTCCTCCAAGCATAACAATCATATAACATAACATCTTAACAAGAGCAGCCGTGACTACCCACATACAACTCTCAATCAGATGGGGCCAGTTTACATCCCACATGTTCGGAAGGCAAAAGTCCTATTGTCAGTCAATGGCTCTGCAATGCTAGTAGGCCGGAAGGCAAGGGACAGTCTGAGCTTCATTTGCACAAGAAACAAAGCTATGCATCTACAGCCTGCTTGTCTCCCAGGCTCTAGAAGATTAGTCTGAAAAGCTTACATTGTTTGCCAATACGGTCTAGCAGTGTATGGGCCTACAAGAATTTCATAGCAGAAGACAGCTGAAATATTAAAAGCTAAATAACACCAAATATTCCATGATAGATGGCTTCCTCTAGAAAAATACCTTGAAATTTCAAGGTATAGCTTTAATAGACAGTGGAATCTCTATACTATATTCTTGCAGCCTGTAAGATGGGTGAGTCCATCCTGCCAGTCAATGTCTTCTGCACTTTCATAGACAGTTTGAGATCCAAGTTCTCCACTTCTAGTAGGGCTAAGTGCTGGCGACAGAGCAGTATTTTCTGGTAACATAGGCAAGTAATCTAAAGAAGTCTGCGGTTAAAAAGGGGCTCCCAGTGGGCTCTCTCCGGCAGGGAGGGTTGGCTGCAAGTGGAGGTGCTGGCAAAGGTACAGGGGCCAGGGAAGGAGTACAGACAGGGCTTGGGTCTGTACTTTCAGAAGCCAGGGAGGCTGACAGATAACTCTAGGGACCGCAGGACCTTAAACGCTGGGACGCAGTTTCCATTTGCTTATCCAGGTCACCTGGCAAATTCCTCCTATTCTTCTAAAGGACAGGAAGAGGTATGGCTAACATCCCTGAATTGTCCTCACACAGGAGCCTGGGGAAGAGCTCACAGAAACCACCTGCAGGAAGCTGATATTCTTCTACCTGGATACCCACAGCTCTGGGGACAGCTGTTAGGCCCCCAAACACCTCCATTGAACTCATGTTAACTCCTACAAGAGTCTAAGGACCTCAAGGAGGTGGCCTCATCCCCTGACCCAGCCTTACCATGTATGTGGCAATCTCATCAGGAGCATCCCCATCAAGGTCAAACTTGAAGGTCACCATCTTATGGTTATGCGTTTCCAGCTGACACTCCACCATCTTGTCCCCCGTGTTACACACCTGCAGGAAGTCATGATCAGATTGCAGAGGACTTTACACCCATGTGCCCCAAACCACAGCCACTCACATTCAGAATAGTGAGCCGAGGCCGGCTGGCCCTCTCCTGCCGGGAGCGCGCACGAGTGGACCTACGGTGGTGTTTCCGGGCAGCCCTACCCTCCAGCCTGCCCCCTCCAAAGGTGCCTTCACAGCTATCACTCAGGTCTCTTCCAGAGGTAACATCGGAACCTCCAAAGCTGAGAGAAAAACCGAGAATGTTAACAGCATACCTGGATCAGCAGAAAATCCACTCTAATCAGTCCAGCCTTGGGGCTTTAAAACTTTAAGTGGCTAAAGTTGTGGCCTACAGAGATAGCACCCAGCTTGCAAGGGGATCCCGAGAGCTCTCTTCCTCCAGTACCCATCCTGAACCACCCATGGGCCCAAGAGAAGTGCCAGCTTCCCAGTGGTGGGCTGTATGATCATGGTTCTCTAGGCCTTTTGCTTCTGTAATGGGTCTGCATGCCTCATTTTCCCCATCTGAGCAAACAAGACATCAGAAACTCTAAGCTGCTGTGAGGACTGTGGAGTCTGCTGAGCTTCCTGCATACACAACATCCAGTCTTCCGGGATGATGGGATCCACAGCTACCTCCCATACCCACCTCAATAAGAACGACACTACCATCCCAGAGCACAGGAGGAGAAACCTAAACACCTGGGTCTAGGCATACATGAGGCCACTGAGACTCTGCCTAATGCTTTCCCCTTCTGGAATGTCCTCAGCACAAGGATTAGTGTCAGGACCCACAGCTCAGCAGGGACCAACAACAACCAGAACTCAACCTGGACTGACAAGGACTAGTGCCAGAATCCAATGTCCAGCAGGGGCTGACAACAACCAAGATTCATCCTGGATTAACAAAGACCAGAAAGATGGGTCCTGAGCCACTATTGGGTCTGATCTGGAAAAGGGGGGCAACGCCTGTTAAAAGTCCTGGTAGCTAGCGCCCTGGCAAACTGGGGCAGGATCTGAGTGAAAGCACCAAGCAGTGCTGGGCTGGGCCAAGCTGGCTCCCAAGCCTGCGCCCCCCACCCATCCTGAGGGCAAAGCAGAGCAGTACCTCTCACAGCTCTGTGGGGGACCAGGGGGCTTGTCTTGCGAGGCCTGCTCCTAAAATAAAAACCAGAGTAAAAGAACAGGGTTACATTGTGCTGACCTACCTCCCCTTGGTGAGGCCAGACACAGCATGCAGCTGCCTCCCCACCTCCTCTGAGGCTCTCTCCACACAGGGCCCAGTGTGTGGCGGGATGATCTTGAAAGGCTTAGAGGCAAGCAGATTCCTGAAACCCAGGGTTGCTTCTTTCCACAAATTGCTAACCTACTTTGATCATTCCTCTAAAAGGACACACAGGGTTTGTGAGTGCCCTGTACATACTCTCTGAGGAAAACCCATTTCTGAAACTCATGCTCTCCCTCCTGATGTGGGCCAGTGGAGACTGAGAGGCAGAGCGGCTTGGAGTAGCTGTCCCAGAGTACACTGTGCCTCCTTCACCCCTAGAGCCGAGCCCCCAGCTGGCTTGAGCAGGGAACAAGGGCACACACCTCTTGAGTCACTTCCACCGTGAGCTGGACAGCAGGGCAGGGACCAGCGACTGCAGGCCCAGTGGGCAGAGGTGGGTTTGTTGGCGGGAGTAGCGTAGAGGTCTGGGTGGGCACGCTCTGAGAGGCTGCAGCCACTGTGGGGGCCAGGGAGCTGGGGAGCTTGGGCAGGAGCTCGGGGGCAGTAGGCAGCAGAGCATCTGGCAGAGGAGGGGAAAGGACAGCAGGCGGCAGGGACACAGCAGAGACTGGAGCAGCGACATCCGCAGTGTACGGAGGAGGGTGGCCCAGCAGGACCTGGGGGCACAAGGGACGAGAAGGCAGGCTGGGTACCAGGGAGCAGTGGCGGAGGCTGTGCCCAGTTACGTCAGTGAGCACACAGATTTGGGAGGATAAGGAATGTCTCTCTCCGTGATCCACATGTTTCCCAAAGGTAATTCTTGACTTAGAGCACAACTGGAATGCAGACATGAGCCTCCTGACACACTTCCGTGTGGGGATACACAGACCTAGACTCCTAGGAACTACAGAAGAAGTCCAGAAGAGTCGTCAGAATGCAACACACACTTAGTATCTAGGCTGGGTTCTGGCTATCTCCTCGGGACATCAACCTCCGGCTTCCCTGGCCTTCTATGTAGTTCAGAGCCTGGGGTAGCTGTTTCCAGTCACAGGTGCACCCTGTGAGCGCTCAACACCTGCCAGCTCTCACAAGGTGATGTGGAACTCTGGCTGACTTTCCCCTGTGGCTGTTTCTCTTCAATAGTTCTTTGGGGGTAAAAAGTAAGATAAAGAGAAAACAGGGTCCATAGATTTCAGTGCGAGAACACACCATCCACGGCCCCAGGTGGGCTAAGAGGCTGGAAATTCCGTCATCTTGTCTCTCAGAACACTTTGCTCCTGTACACATACCTTCTGCTGGAAGGGATGCCTGTGGGGCAGCCAGTCGAGATCATCAATAATAACCTTCTAGAAGCTTAATGTAATTAAAAATTCTTTTTAGAAGAGGGTCAGTGTCCTGGTTAGTTTTCTGCAGTCTGACACACTAGAGAGGAGGTAGGCTCAGCTGAGAAAATGCCTTCATAAATTCAGGATGTAGGCAAGCCTGTAGGGCATTTTCTTAGTCAGTGATTGGTGGGAAAGGGCTCAGCCATTGTGAGTGGGGCCATCCCTGGGCTGGTAGTCCCGGGTTCTATAAGAAAGCAGGCTGAGCAAGCCATGGGGAGCAAGCCAGTAAGCAGCATCCCTTCCATGGTCTCTGCATCAGCTCCTGCCCTGTTTGGGTTCCTGTCCTGACTTCCTTCTATGATGAACAGTGATGCAGAAGTGTAAGCCTGTAAACCCTTTCCTCCCCAAGTTGCTTTTGGTCATAGTGTCTTATCACAGCAATAGTAACCTAACTAAGACAGTCAGCAAGATGGCTGAGTGGGGAAAGGCCTTGCCACCAAACTTGATGACCTGAGTTTGATTCCTAGGACTCATATGGTAGAAGGAAAAAAATCAACTTCTGCAAGTTGTCCTTGTGCACACATGAGCAGCACCCCCTATAACATAAACAAACAAATGCAATTTAAAAGTAAAAAACCAGGCCTGGAGAGGTGGCTCAGTAGTTGAGCACATACTGCTCTTGCCAAAGACCCAAGTATGGTTCCCAGCATCCAAGTTGGGCAGCTCACATTAGCCTGTAACTCTAGCTGTATAGGGATCCAATGCCTCTGGCTTCTGTGGCAACTCCACTCATATATATGAACACACCTAAACACAGACATACACATAATTAAAAACAAAAATAAATTTTTTAAAATTAAGAATAAAATAAACTTTTAGAAGCTCTACCAGCCAGCCAGTTGAAGAACCCACCCGTCTGTAGCAACCCCAGAACCCAGAAAGGCCAGCAGCAGAAAACAAGGCCCAGAACACACAGATGGTGCTAGACCCTGCTCTCCTGCTGCTTAGTAACCTTTGACACCTTCTCATTCTAGCCGTTCACTCAATGAGAACACAAGACTGATGTGGTTCCTCCCACTGGCTTTTTAGACAAATGCTTTCCGCTGGCCAATAAATACTACTCCCACCCATCTCCAAACACAAATGCCTCCAGAAATGAGATAGTGAGAAATCATATGGAAGGAGTTGGATACACACTGAGCGAGCAGCACAAAACTGAGCCATGCGGCACCTGGCACCAGAGTGCTCCCCCTGGACCCTTCACTCTTCACATAGCACCTGGCACCAGAGTGCTTCCCCTGGACCCTTCACTCTTCACGGCAAAGCCAGGAAGTGCTGGTCCACATCAGAGGAACCCAAGGTTCAAATGGCAGGGGCATGCCTCAGCTTCAAGAGCTGTCAGGGCTCAGAGCTGGGGTGAGGTCAGGGTTGGAGAACCCCCCAGGTGAAAGTGTCAGATGGGGAGATGCTGAAGTGTGTGTGTTGGGGGCGGAGGCTGCCAGGTGGAGAGAGTATCTTCATCAGGTCCCCAGTGGAAGACACCCAAGTAAAGCAGGCCTCTGATGAGGGGACTCTCAAGTGGGAAGCATCAGGTCTGTTCTTCCTTCCCCTCATTTGGGTTTAAACAGAATAGACAGGAACTCCCAACATGAATGTCCTGTGCAGGCTCCTGCCACAAGGCACGTATCCCTACGCACCACAGCATCCCTCCATTGTCAACTTGGCCCACTGTATGAACCATCACCTGCACCAGGGCAGTTACCTGTCTCACAAGAATCCTCTTCCACCCAGCAGCCCAGCAGCACACAGACCCCCTTGCTGTTCTCTGCTTTGTCTCTGCTCAAATAGGAATGCCCATTCTGCCTTGCTTTGTCCTCTGGGTTAGCCTGGGCTACATGCAAGTCCTGGTATCCACAGAGGAGCCACTTCAGGCCAACAGGACTGCCACTGGCGTGAGGGTAGGGGAGTCCTCCACCACAAAGCAGAGGCAGGGAAGGAGCGTGAAACCCCTCAGCCATCCTGATGCTCCAGCTCCCAAGAAGGCAGCAGGTGCTCCTCACTGGCTCAGGCCTCTGTCTCCAACGTTCTCTTCACAAGAAAAGTCAACCAGGGGCTGGAGAGATGGCTTAGAGGTTAAAAGCACTTGCTGCTCTTGGAGAGGACCTGGGTTTGATTCCCTAGCACCTACATGGTGATCACAACCATCAATAACGCCAGTTCCAGGAAGTCTGACACCCTCTTCTGACCTCTGCCAACACCAGAAGCACACTTCAACATCAGGGATACACATTACCTCAAAATAAAGGGTTAGAAAAAGATTTCAAGCAAATGGACCTAGGAAGTAAGCTGGTGTAGCCAATTTCATATCTAACAAAATAGACTTCAAACCAAAACTAATCAAAAGAGATAGGAAGGGACACAGACGGTACAAATACACACATAGAGGCAAAACATTCATACACATAAAAATTAAATCAATCTAAAAAGTTTTAAAAAAGAAGAAAGGTTAACCTCAGGACAGAACTGCCCCCTAACAGTGCTACGCCCCCTTGAGTCCAGGTACCAACAGGAGCCATGGCCCTATGAAGGGAATAGTTCTAGTCTCTTGAGCCTGGCCCCGAGGGTCTCCAGGCAGTGAGAGGTGGATCCACTCCCACAGGTGGATTACCTGGGTCCCTGAGGCAGCGGTTGGAGCAGCCTGCTCAGGTAGATGGACGACACTGGGCTGGACAGGCTGAGGAGGCACAGGTGAGGCCAGCTGTGGAGGGGTGGCCCGTAAGCTCTGCACCGTGTGGTGGGGTGAGGGTGGGATGTCTCCAGGTGCCATCTGTGGGAAGGCTGCTGGGTACACAGGCTGAGCTGGGATCTGGGCTGGGATCTGGGCTGGGATCTGGGCAGGGATTTGGGCCACTGCTGGATGGATGGACAGTGCAGCCACACCCTGTGGGGCCACGGCCAGCAGGGGGATAGCAGCTGGTGCATTTGGCACGATGGTCTGGCAGGGCACAGCCAGGGGTGCTCCAGGGGGATGAGGCAGCTTGACAGCCTGCAGAGGCAGGGCCGGTGATGTGGGCAGGGGCGTTGTGAGGCTTGGCAAGATCACAGCAGGTGGGAAATACTGAGGCGGTGGCACAGGGGCCACATTTGCAGCTGGCAGATCAGTGAGGGTCTGAGGGAGGCCGTCGAGCCCTGCCAAGGGAGTGATGGGGGGAACCACAGGCATTTGAGGCATCTGAAAAAGGTATAGTGGCATGTTAGTCAGGCTGCATCCAGGACATGCAACATCAGCAGCAAGCGACTCAGTCTCCCAAACAGCTGCTGCTGCTGAGATGATTCCAAGCAAGTCACTGGAAAGCATTATAAACATGTTCAGGCGGGGGACCTGCCTGCTGGATTCTCCCTGGGCACCAGCATGGAGGGACCTGTGTGTCCCAATCTCCAAGGGGCTGGCTGGTGGCTCTGAGGGAGTCAGGAGTGCTCAGATAAGAGGAGCCAGAGAAGGACCCCAGGGCTCTGGAGCTTCGGAGCACTTTCATTTGGAAAGACTTGAGACTATCAAAGGTACCAGGCTAGCCCGGTCACCTAGTGTCACACCAGCCTAAAGTCTCATCCTGTGAACTCCATGGAAGCCAACCCCTTGTAGGGTTCTCAGTATAAACCTTCTTTGACAGATGAGGCAATGCCACTCCCTGTGTGGCACGCGGCCTCTCAACAGCAGAGAGTCCAAAACCTTCTGTTGGTTCTCCCAGCGTCGGGGGGTACTTGACGTGCTGGGGTAAACACGGTGGAAGGGACAGCTACCCCCAAAGCAGCGCTCTTTTCCTGCTTGCTCACAAGCATCATGTTCACTACAGCTCTGTGCCACTATGAGGGCACAAGAATGTACAGGTCCACTGTGACGCATGTGACAGACAGCTAAACGACACCCGCGGTGACAAATGCCCCTGGAAGGAGCTGCCCCTAGCTGACTGTTCAGAGCTCTGCAGGATGACCATCTGAAGCAAGCAGGGAGCCTTCTATGCCCACTCGGTGGTCACAAGGAGAGCTTTGTCCTTGGCTGGACTAACCCTTTTCCCATCCTGGATGGTAATCGAGTAGATAACAGGACAACAGCTGCCTCACCCGTTCCTTGAGGGACCCTATTTACACCACTCTCATCCCGGAGGCGAAGCCAGAGGGAGAGGGAAACCAGACCAAGGACTGTCCCCAGGGTCCCAGGGCAGTCACGAAGCACTAGACATGTAATACACAGGGTATGACACCGTGTTCCAGGCCCACCGCCCTAGCCAGTAGCCCCTGGTGACATGCATGAACAGGCCCAGCCCATGTCCCGAGCAGGGTGAGCAGGCTACGGGCCAGAAGTACCTGCGGAGGGACTTGAGCAAGAGGTTGCAGAGGTGGCTGCGGCATCTGGAGAGGCTTCAGCTGAGCAGGGGCCACCACCTGGGAGGTTGGAGCCAGGTATGGAGGCAAATGAGAGGGCACTGGCTGGACAGCGCCCACGGGCTGCGGGGCCAGGACCTGTGGCAGGGTAGGTGGTTGGGCCATTGGAAGAGGCTGGTGGAAGAAAAGGGAGTCTTGTGCTCAGACACAAAAGAAATCCACAATGACCACCCACCCACACACATACATACATGCTCACACTCACTCATCTGCATATACACTCCCACATACACACTCAGATTCACACACACAGCCACATCACTTGCATATATACATCTTCGCAACTTTACAACTGCATATTTTCACACACAACACTCATATACACAGTGAACTACATTCATAACATACATCCACATACCAGTCACACAAACACACAGAGACCACCAAGCCCCTGCTAATTTGGAGGCAGCTTATTAAAACATTCGAAGTAAGTAGACTTTTCCATGTGCAGGCCTTGCATTACAAACTAAAGATCTGAAACACACACACACACACACAAATGCTCACATAGGTTCCATACTTGACCCAAGCCACAGGCGTTGGCTACAGAACTATGCCCCATAAGGGGACAATTTAAGGGGATAAAATGGAGTGTCACACTCACCTGCTGGACTGGGGGTGCTGGCTGACTTGGGCCCGGGGGCACAGGCGTGCTGGGCGGTGGTAGCACAGGAGTGAAGCTCATGGAAGGTTCTGGAAAATGCTGCTGGATGAGTGGAGGGCGGGCAGGGGGAGGCACAGGGCCCACTGACAGGCCAGGCTGCAGAGAATGTGAAGGCTATATTCAGCAGCTGCCCTTGGCCCTTCTTATTCCCGTGCCCAACCCCCCCCCTCCACCAAGAACCTTGTTCCCAGGAAAGTGACTCAGCAGAAGCCAGGTGTGGTGGCCCTACAACACCATCAACAATACTGAAAAGCCACATATGGCCACAGCTCCCAGCCAGGGAATGTTCTAGAACATAAGCCCAATGGAGTATTACGCAACCATGTAAAAAAAAAACCATCACAGAGGTTTTTCAGCACCATGGAGAAAGACTCCTTCGAACATAAGCTGTGGGGCAGCTTATTTACAGAGACGATTCCAACAACAAAGGATGAACCAATATGGATAATTCAGACTACAGAGTGATGGGACATAGAGTTTGTGGCTACTGGAAAGGTACCAGGACACATAGGCACGGGAACAAAACTAGAACAGGGAGGCCCTTGGCAAGGAGAGGTCCTCTGAGACTTAGCCACAAGAAGAAACAGGGCCACACATAGGGAGGGCACTGGTCTATGCAGCTAGCAAAAGAATGGGAAATTAGCCCAAGGATGCCAAGGTTAAGGAATAGCTGCTACTTTGTCGATATTCTGTGCATGGGGAGGGGGTTGGTTTTTGTTTTTTAATTTTATGTATATGATATTTTGCCTGCATATATGTCTGTGCACTATGTACATGCCTGGTACCTGAGGAGGCCAGAATCAGGCATCAGATCCCAGGGTACTAGAGTTACAGATGGTCGTGAGCCACCGTGTGGGTGCTGGGAACCAAGCCTATGTCCTCTCCAGTCCTATGTTACTATGGTGAGCTCTCTAAGCATATTCACTGTGCAGAGACAGCGCCTGTAGTATTTATGGGAAAATCTCTGGTTGTCCGGGATTTACTTTACAACAATGAGGACATTGGCAGTAGAGGGCTGTGGGGAATGTATCCGGACACAAGTTTATGGTTTGGAAGAGGGATCGATGTCCACTGCTCTCCAGCAGTCTTCTCTAGAATGTGTTGTGTGGCACAGGGGCAGGGATTTCTAAAACACACTCTCACTTCCCCTTTCCTGGTGCTTTGTGCAAGAATGTGGGGAGCAGGCACGTGTGGGATCAAGTCTCAGAGCTGGGTTTATCTAAAACCATAGACAGATGAGTTGGCCCAACTAGACCAGGCCAGGACAGACTGTCCACTCATAAGCTCTGGCCACTGTACGTGGCTCAGGAGCTCAGGCAGGGCCTAGTGACCCCTCACATCTGATGGTCTTCCATTTCCTCCTTCTCATCACCCGTCTGTTTGCCCCACCGGACCCCAGAGGTACACTGCCACAGCAGCCTTCTCCGGGAAATACAAAGAGGTCAGGATGTACCCTCCACAAGCTATCCTGTCTAAGTTGTCTTTAGGTCAGGAGGCAGGGAAAGAGGACCAAGAGCCCTGGCCCCGGGTCTGCAACTGCGAGCTCTCTGCTCAGTCTCCTGATTTGCATGTGGATGGTGAGATTGGCTGGATCAATGAGGATGTATAGGACAGCAGGGGCCTGGTGAGGACCAGGGCAGCTAGTCCATCCCATGGCCCAAGGTAGCCCTAAGCATGGCTGAAGGTATGAGAGAGACAGGCAAGACATTCTGCTCAGGCCCAGCTGAGCAGCCTCTGGGGCAGCAAGTCCTCTTGCATGAGGTCTTCCGGCCATTTAAAATCAAACCTCACTTCATTCTGTGAAATGAACAAAATTGCAAATGTGCGCATCACAGCGAATCCTGGGGCTCAGGGAAGCAGCGGCAGACACAATCCACGGTGTCAACTGCTTTTCCAAAAGGCCTGCTGGGCCCTTCTAACTGCTCGATGCTAGGTGGACACGGGGAAGAAGAGAGCGAGCCTGTGTATGCCCAGCACAAGTCACAGCACTGGAGTTCAGCCAGTGCCAAGAAGCCACCACAGTCCAAGACTGTGATAACTGGCGCTACCAACTTACCAGCTGGGGGCTCCCAAATGACAGGGGAAGCAAGAACCCACCCGTGGGGTCTACATCACCCTCTGAAGACTCAGCTCCACCACCCAGGCCACAGGCAAATTCTCAAACTGAGCTCTTAGGACTATGAAACAAGCATTTTTCTTCAATGTTTAGGACAAAGGCAAAAATCACGGGGCCTGCCATGGGAACACAAGGACGTGGCTGTGTTCCTCAGCACACACACACACCTGTTGTATGTGTGTGCTGAGGAACTTAGGTAAATATGTCATGTGAGGTAATGTAAAAAAACCATCACAGAGGTTTTTCAGCACCATGGAGAAAGACTCCTTCGAACATAAGCTGTGGTAAATATGTCATGTGAGGTAATATAAAAAAACCATCACAGGTAAAAGGTACTTAGCACTTAGGTAAAAGGCAGGTGGCAGAGCACACCTGTGCTCTCAGTGCTGGGAGGCAGGAGACAGGAAGGTCCTGGGGACTTGCTGGCCAGCCAGTGAGCTCCAAACTCAGTGAGAGACCCTGTCTGAAAAACTCCTGACACGGGTCTCAGGCCTCCACGTGTACATGCAAGGGTGTGTGTACCTGTATGTACCACAGACAAAAAGAAAATAAAATGAATGCCCTGCTTGACCCCTCCTTCATCATCCACTTCCCAGACCTCACACACCGCCTATCAGGCATCCTCAAAGCCTGAGCCTTTCTTGCCTTCTACAAATACTGAAAATACCTCCCTGCTTCAGCCCCATTTTTATCCCCCTGACTTTCAACAGCTACCACTACCTGAGGGAGACATGCCAGGAGGTCTTGGATGTTTCCGAGGAGGCTGGGCAGAGATAAAAATCCAGAGCTCCATTATCACACATGATACATTTCTGTCATCTCTGGGATAGACTGGGAAAGACCCCAATATGCCAGCTTCATACACCTGTGTGGTACCGGTGACAACCTCAGGATAAGGCTGGTTGGTTCCCCAAGCCATGGGTACCCTAAGGTGTGTTCCCAGATACTCCACTCTTTATCCAAGAGTTCTTCACATTTAGAGTTCTGCAGCTCCCCAGCAAAGGAGCTCCACGGACTGCATCCTCGAGTCTCCCAAGGGAAATGTGGCTGGGAGCCGACTACAGGCCACTCGAACCCGGACCATACTTAGCACAGCCTAGACAAGAGGCAAAGAGGACAGAGCAGGGGTAGCTCTCAAACTTACCACAGTGGCCGGCTGCTGGAAGGCCCCTAGTGCAGGCAGGCTGTGGGTCAGGCCAGGCCCCTCAGTCACAGGGGGGCTGCACACACACGAGGCTGGGGTTGGAGTTGTATCCACGAGGGAGCTGAGCACCATGCTCTGCTGGCTGCTCTGGGAGTCGGAGTACACAGTGGAGCCCTGGCCACTGTCGAAAGTGCTGTCCGCTGGGGAGGACAGAGGTAGAGCTTAGTGTGCACGCCTCTAAACGCCACCTCCCCGGCACTACAGACAAGCGTAGTGGCTTGTTCCTGGGTTCATTCTGCAAGACTGAGCCTGGGTTGTTTTCATGAATGATGTTTAAACTGCCACCCGCTACACAGCAGCATGTGGTCTCAGGCCTCCTGTGCCCCTGGCCTGATGCTGGGGTAGGCAAGGCTGGCGAGCCCATCAGAAGCAAACCCTGTCATTCCCTGCCCACTCTGGTGTGCAGGTGCAGAGGCTGCCCTTCTCTGACGGTACTTGGCAAGGCAGCCTGCCCACATAGACAGCCAGTGAGGAATGAAAACCGGAAACAGCACTTTGAGGTTGCGCTTCTGGATTCCAAAAGCCACAGGCTTTACAATCTGCCACCAAAACACCAAGCTGTTTTCACAAGGGGCTGCATTTCAGAGTGAGTACTCTGTCCACTGATAATTTAAGCCAAGTGAGGGGTAAGTCTTGCTGGCTCTGCACTAACAATTTTTCCGAAGAGTGATTTTAACCTAGGAAGACATAATGCTGAGGTTTAATTGGGTAAAACCAATTAGACAAGCAGCTCTAGTTCTTAATGAGCCAACTGTTCATTAGAGTGACCATTTCTACCTACACAGACAGGAAGAGAGCGAGGAGAGAATGGAGCGGGAGAGGGAGGTGGGGAAGAAAGGAAGGTGGCCCTCAGGCTAACGAGATTCCAGAGGCACCAACTCCAGCCCTGTGTGCAACACTTTAAATATCGCAAGTGATTTGTATAGATTACTTGTATAACCAGAATTTCATCTGGAGATGGTTACCGCCCCCCACCCCCACCCCCCCAACCCTCACCCCACCAACCCCCGGCATTGGCTGTGTTGTCATGGTCCTCAGCAGGAGTGTTGGGGCAGTTGAAGCGGCCCGCTAAGCGGAGTCGGGGCTGCTGGGGGAAGAATACCGAAAGCTGATGTGGCAGGGTATCGCCCAACACAACAGGTGTATGTGTGTGCTTGTGATCCTGTTAAGTGCAGGGCCTGCTCAGACAATGGGTTATCTTTCATCCTTAGCAGCTACAAAGCACAGAATGGTCGGCCACTGTTAAACTCCTGCCACCAGGTGAGAAAGCGAAGACAAAAAGCCCAGAGCAGCGTGCAGAAGGGCATTTGAGGGTGCTGTGCGTGCTGAAGGAAGGGGGATGGAGACGTGCTTCTATGTGTTCCTCACATCACGTATGCAAGCACAGATGAGTATACTCATCTTTTTTTGGTTTGGTTTGGTTTTCTGTTGTTTGAGGCAGGGTTTCTCTGTGTAGCCCTGGCTGTCCTAGAACTCGCTCTGTAGCCCAGGCTGGCCTTGAACTGAGATCTGCCTGCCTCTGCCTCCTGAGTGCTGGGATTAAGGGTGTGTGCCACCACCACCTCATGAGTATATTCACGTATGTCCACATGTGTATTCCCATGTGTGGAGGTGCACACATGTTCTCAGCTGTGTATGTACAGGTGTCAGTATGATGTGTGATGTATGTGTGTCTTTATATGCGTGAATTCTCTGTATATAAGGCTATGCACACTGGGTGTGCATCTGTACACATACACTATGTGTTTGCCTGTGTGTGTGTCCATATGTGGATGATACATGTAGATCTTCTCTGGAAGGCAGTTAAAAGATCTGCAGCATCTGTTGCCTCTAGGAGGATAAGTGACTTGCCTGTAAACCCTGAGGGGTTGAAAATTCTGAAAGATATGACTGTACCATCCATCTAGTTTAAAGTAAATATAGTAAGTGAGCAAAAGCCCTTTGAGAAGGCCAGCCATGGCTTCTGTGCTTAGCCCATGGGTGTTCCGAGTCACACAGGAAAGGGCTCTGTTGGCAGAGAATTCCTGCACTTAACAGGAACTTATCCTACTCTCCATCTCCATGGGATTTTCTCATATTGGGTCACCCTGGCCTTCAGCATCTGACCACAAGAGGGACATTGTTCTGAGGTCCCAAACTGGGTCTCTTCGAAGTACAAAATGCAGAGCTCAGCTTGGAGCAAAGTACTTCAAAGTGAGGGCCGCCCATTTGCATTTAAGTAGTCTTCTTGGAAGCTATTTGAGTCATGAATGAAGGGGGCTGCATATTAAATAAACAGGGTTTCAGTCTTTCCACATGAACAATCTCAAATATTGGCCTGGGCTCTGCTGATCTGTTCCAGGCTGGTTCAGAGTGGGCAAAACTATGTCTCCTGTCTCACAGCTCATTGCTGAATTTTCAAACATGGAAGGCAAACAGGACACCGACTGCCTATCCTGAAAAAGTACTGGATCCTCTCAGGATGGTCTCTGATGAAGCCTGCATCCAATCCACCTCAAGAGAAACAATGCCTTGAAAAGGGACAAATGGTCTCAGAGGTTTCTAAGGAGGATAGTAACAGAGATGGACAATCCCAGTGACCAACACTCCTAGTCAAGACAACCACCACTGGGCACAGTCATCCCCTCCAAAGACTATGTACTAGTACCTCACTTGGCCTTTGTATCTCTCCATGAGGCCAGGACTACTCCTCCCAGAGAGAATAAAGAACCAGTTGCCAGTCTACAGATTCACAATGTGGAGCTGAGGTAGAACTGGTTCCCTCAGACCCTAGTAAGCCATGGGCATCTGACCTGAGAAGCCAGATTCTAGCAAGCCTTAGCCCCCAGAGTCACTGAGGAATGTAGGGAAAACACAATCCTTTTCCCCAAACAATCATCCACACCCTACAGGGCAGGCAGTAGGAACAAGCCTGGGCTGGCCAACGAACCAGGGCCCACGTGTCCTAGCACTTGGAGACCATCCGTTAGCCCTACTACCCCAGGACATGCCCCTTAAAAGATCACCATGTGTTCTGGCACCAAGATGGCCAGCAGGAAGTGACCTTGGAACAGGAGACCAAAGCCTCTCCAAAGCTTCAGGGAACCACGTACAGCTGGAAGCAATGACCCAGCTCCCTGAGGACAACTTGGAGCTCACCAGGTACCTGCCTTTCTCACACAATGTTGTTATACAAGATAAGAACTCTGTCTTGCTTTGCCCTGAAGCTGGTTAGGCTGGTGGTAGTGGGAGGAAGGGCACAGTTGGCCATGGTGAGCCCATTCCAGGTACTCACAGGCTAAGGAGGTAACGCTAGCTGGCAACGTAGGGGGCAGGAGATGCTGGTCAGCCTCAGGCTCCTCAGGTTCTGGCAGTCCAGGCTGCCCACTCTGTGCATGGTAGGTCACCTGGACCTGCAGGGGTGCTGGCAGACCCTTGGCCTTGTCAGGGCTGCCCGAGTCCTTTGGCTCCTGAGACTGTAGCGCAGGCCAGATTCTCTCACGCCGCCACTGGATTAGTGCTACCCGGTCACGGATGGACTTGGCCACAATCTTCACATCGCTCTCATGGAAGAATCCAGAATCAATCTGCAAAGGCAGACACACAGTCAAGCATCTTGGGGAGCAGCCATCCTGCATGCACCGCTTACATGTTATATACACAGACATCCTACTGCTTAGGCCTACCCTCCCATCTACCCTAGTTCTCAAGACTCCTCAGTCCCCTCATGAGTGATGAGTCCCAACAACCACCTTTGAAGTTTACAGGCTCCAGCTGTGGGATGGCAGTTCATGCCCAGCAAATATTCACTGACCTTATAAACCCTGACCACCAGCCTGGAAGGAGGAGACCCATTTGGTCCTCAGAAAGCAGTATGGGGAACATTTGAGCCTGGCAAAATCCTAAACTCCCTTCACCAGCAGAGTATTCCACGATCTCCAGGAAACATAGTGAGCTCACTGGGAATATCTATGACAAAGTCACTTCCTGGGACAGAGGTCCCTGCTAAGGCTCTGTTCTAGCTGGACTATAGCGCTAATGGGGACTACTGAAAAGTCAGGGTTGGGTTCCTTTCTTCATGAAGACCTCAGTTCTAGAGAGACTGAGTTGGGGTGCTGGAGAGAGAGCTCAGTCAAGAAGACCAGAGTTCTGTTCCCAGCACCCATGCTAGGTGACTCATAACCACCCGTAATTCCAGCTTCAGGGGATCCAACACCCTCTTCTGGACTCTGGGGGCCCTGCACACATGTGTGCATTACCACTACCACACACCTCACCCTCCCTATACACATAAACTAAAAATAAATCTCTTTTAAAAGAAAGAAAAACATACATTTTTTTTTAAATGACAGGGTTTAACTGTGTATCCCTAGTTATGTAGACCAGGCTGACCTTGAACTCAGAGATCCACCTGCCTCTGCTTCCTGAGATCTAGGATTCTAAAGGTGTGCACCCCCATGCCCAACAAGAAAAATAAATTTTAAAAGAGACTTGGTGGGCTCTTGACTGGAAGACTGCAGGGTAGGGATACAGGGGTGTCCTAGTGTGGGAACTGGGAAACACAGTGGAATATATGTGATGGACAGCACAGCTAGAGGGTGGTGACTGTGTGGGCCAGCCAGGCTCCTCCCACACAGAAAGGCACGAATGTGGAACAGACCCACGGCACTGCTGGGTCCCTGCGCTATCAGTGAAACAGTCACGAACCCAAAGGCACATGGATGGCACTTGTGTATGAATGTGTAGATGGCATGTCCCCGTGAACTGTGTCCACAATCCTGAGAGGCCACAGGAAACCAGAGCTGCCGCTGGCTCAGTAGCTCGGGGCTGGACAGGAGAACAAGGAGAATGAGCCAACTGCCTGGACATGCTCAGGGAAGGACAGGGATGTGCAGACTGACATGGGAGCTGGTACTGGGGCAAATCCAGGACATCTGAACATCAGAATGAGCAGCAACACAGCGATGCTTTAAAGGGCATTCCCACAAATCCTAGCACACATTTTGCATAAGCAGTTTGCAGATCACCTGTGGGGGGAAAGAGACAGGGTATCCTACTGGACTAAGGTAGGGTGGTGTGGAGGGTCTCACCTGCCCTTTCTATTTCTTTCTTTCCATGACTGTCTCTGTACATGTCCCTATTCCCCCACACCCCTTTTTTCTCAGGCATTACTGCTCTGGATGAAGCCACATCATGAGCTATCTGAAGAGATCCACCAGCAGGGAACTCAGGCCCCCCACTACATGGGTCACCAGCCCTGCCTGACACCTGACTGTGCCTCATGAGAGGCCCTAAGCCACCCTTTGCCCCAACCTGAGCACTGGACAGGCCAGAGCACTATGGTTGGGGTAATCTGCTGTGAAGCTACCAACATCTAAACAGAACTGTACTGTGTCCCCTCAGAGCAAGTATCCTATACAATGGGGTGGTCAGAAGCATATGACCCCGGCAGGCCACAGTGACAAAGTGGCTCCTTCTCTGAGACTCCTAGGATGTATCACCTAGCCTAGAGGGGCATCTGAGCTCTTCCCAAGTGTCAGGCCACAGAAGGCAGAGGACAGAAGAGCCCCGTGATAGTGGCTCAATGCTTGGACACCAAGGATCCCAGCAGCCCAGGGAAGTGATGATGGTGGCATCCTGATGGCACTTTGATTCTGAATGCAGGAAAACCCCTGCTTCACAGAAAATAACAGACAGGAATGTACTCGGGGTGGTGGGTGCTAGGCAGCTGCTCACTTTCAAACAATACATGGTGGAGTTGGGAGTCGTCCTCTGTTTAACACTCTCCAACCTCCCAGGGAGTTTGTCCAGGTCATTTCAAAGCAGTTTATTTTGAAAGACAATTCTGCTTGTCACAGAGATCCCCCATGAAAATGTCCCAGATGAAGGCCTCACTGATCCCAGCAGAGTCATAAGCAGGCTGGGTATGTGGCCAAGGAAAGGGTCTAAAGAAGAGAAGCCGAGGGACACAGAATCCTCCGTGGGATCCACCTATACTGAGGGCCTGTGGTTCAGCCACCGTCTTGTGGGGAAACTTCTGGACAACAGGCCAGTCCACACCCCCAGAGGAGACAAGACAAGGTGAGGGGTCTTTTTCTGTCCTTAGAACCAGCAGCAGCCTCTTTTCAAGGACGTCCAAGTCTAGCCACAGGGACCTTTGTGAGGCAGTTAAGCCTGGATGGGCCAGAATAACCCAAGTCAGTTGTGACCTAGAGTGAGTGGCCCAAGGTAGGTATAGTAAGTGTCACTGATCCATGGAACAGGTCTCAAAGGTGACCAGAGCATGACACATGCCATCTATAAAGTCCCAGGTAACCGCAGTTCACATTAAAGACAGTTGGCGGGTGATGTCTGCCATTCTGCGGGATTCTTGTTCTAAGGCTCCATGTCCCTGCTGGGCAAGGCCTACCTGGCCAAAGCTGCCACAGTCACTTCCATTTTCTGCAACACTTCAGCCGTCCCCAGGATGGGCCTAACTGCCTGTAGCTCAGTACCCCACAGAACCTGCCACGCTTAACCTCATTTCTGCCATGCTGATCTACATCCTCACCCTATCACCCATCTTCATCCCCCTCCAGGTGGCTCCAGGAGGTCTCATCTGGATTCTAGGGTGCCTGTGGCACCTCACACCTGTGAAGCCTCAGGAGTCCAGGATCTTTGCCAGACTCACGTGTTCCTAGATGGTGACTCCCTCTGCAGCCTAGGCCCAGGGAGGGGCTGGTGGCCTGGGCAGTAATGACCCTGGAGTCTCAAATGTACAGGATGAAGAAGGGCAAATCTGGAACCCTACAAGCTTCCTGGGGCCCAGGAACCACCCTGAGGCCCAGTAAGAGCATGGCAGAGCTATGAGATGGGCCCATGTGTGGCTGTTCACAAAACAGAGCCCTTGCTGGGAGAATGTAGGGCTTTCAATTGTCACGTGTGGCAACCAGGCTTGGCAGAGTGGGGATACACATTGTTTTTATTATTTTTTAAAAAATTATTATTATTTTGGTTCTTTGAGAGAGGGTTTCTCTGTGTAGCCCCAGCTGTTCTGGAACCCACTTGTAGACCAGGTTGGCCTCAAACTCAGAGATCCACTGGACTTTGCCTCCCTAGTACTGAGATTAAAGGTATGTGCCACCACTACTTGGCATTTATCATTATTCTTTAAGTTGATACAAGTCATGTCCTTTCTACATGGATGCCCTTTTTATAGATAGCATGCCTTATAATGGAAAGAAAATGCAGTCTGAGGCAGAAGAGGGGAGACGGAGATAAGAGGTGTGTGTGTGTGTGTGTGTGTGTGTGTGTGTGTGTGTGTGTGTGTGTGTGTGTGTGTGTGTGTGTGTGTGTGAAGATTCAGAAGAGGGTACTGGGCCCAGGGCCTTCCCTGGAACTGATGCAGGGACATAGCCTGGGAGTTCAGCCAAATGGTAGAGACCAGCTGAGGTAACTCACCCACAATGGCCCTACCCTGTGGGAAGCCCTGTCCTCTACCGTATGACAAGCAGAGATAGGGCAGAGTCTTGGGTGTCAACTGCTTCAGAAGCAGTTACGCAGCATCCAGGAACAGTGCACAGGGTACACTTGGGTTTAGGACACTGTGTCTTTCAGGGAACTGAAGACAAACTGGGAAGCTGATGTCTGGGTGAAGCCCAGACACTCAGAATCTACCTGTCAGGGATCCTGGGCATCATCCTGGAATCACTACCCATGCTGCAATCACTCACACTGAGCCCCAACGTCCCCTTATCACATCGTAGCCATCATGTGGCCCCTGATCCCAAGGCTTAGCACCCAAACCCCTCATGCCCTGCCTGGCCCAGTACAGAGCAGGCAGAATCACATTTGTAATGCAGCCCTGGCCTCGTTCACGAAGGCAAGAATGTTATTTTAGCTGAAGAGACTGCCACGTTGAAACCACAATGACCAATCACGATCCCCATTCTTACCCCTTGCAAGGTCAGAACAGTGTGGTTTCCCCACGATTCCTTTATCTGATACACATAGGAGACTCTCCCTCCAATCCTTCTTCCCACATCTATCATTCCCCAGGCCAGTAACAATGACCAGCACAGTGACCACAGTATGCTCTCAGGAAGTGGTTGACACCAAAATCCAGCTGCCACACTGTCTGCAGCTGGCATGCCACCTCACACGATGCTTATGGTTCTCAATAAAAAGCATGGAGAGACAGCTGTGAACATCAGTGAATGGAAATGTGTGCTGGTAACCAGCTGAATGTATACAGTCACTCTTGATGACTGAATTGAAAATACACAGCGTACCATATATAGTTACTACTGGCCACCACTGTGAGTCATGGAAGACCTCCAAAGAAGCATGGAGCTAAAGAGTCCCATGAGATGTGTTCACAGCAGAAGCTCTTCTGGCTGGGATGGGATCGGAGGCAAGTTTTGTGAGAGTGGGTCAGTCTTGTCACATGGGTGACCACTCTGTGCACCTCGGGATGATGGTACAGCCTGCCCCGGAGAAGCCAGCCTAGACTTCAGCTCAGCAACAGTGTGTCACATCCATCCTCATCCTTACCACACCACACGCTGCTGCACAGGGAAGCCCTTGGAGTCTCTTTTCCTCCAGAAGCTGAAAGTGAGACCCTGCACTCAGTTGTGCTTCAGAAGGCCACAGAGGAGCACTCCATCCCACAGCTGTGGCACCAGGACCATGCAACAGTTTTACCCAGCACGACCTAAGCTCTCCCCGAGTGTGTCCTTTCCAGCCCAGCTCCCTAGGAGTCATGGATGCTGAGGCCCTGCTGTTAGGCTACTTCTTCCTTCCTTCATGGACCTCTGTGCAAAAGCTAAACCCACCATGTACTCTGGGGCACATGCTGTAGAAATGGCACAGTCTTAAGGAGGAATGAACAGAAAGTCCATGGAGCCCCTTTCTTCTGACTCTGAGAACTCACACACTCCAAGGCATCACTACCCAGCCCCCTAGGGACCCGTCCACTTTTGACAGGAGAACCAAGGAACCCACCATTCTGTGCACTTGGGACTTACATTTTAACAGATGTGCTCTGTTCAGTGGAAAGCTCATCTGGAACTGGGCATAGTGGTGCAAGCCTAAAATCCCAGCTGCTGGGGAATCTGAGGCAAAAGGCCTGTGTGGGATACAGAGTGAGTTCAAGGCCAGCCTAGGCATTTTAGTGAGAAGGGTTTCGAAATAAAATGTCAAAAAACAGGCCTGGCGCTGTGGTAGAACTCTTGCCTAACACCGGACTCTAATGCCCTGGGTTCAGCTCCTGAGGGAGGGAGGGTTGTAGGGGGAGGTAAAAGTAAAAGAGGGAGGGCTGAAATACGCTTTAGACGCAGAGTGGCTGTACGTTCAGTCCCCAGTAACACCAGAAAACGAAAAGGGAAAAAAGCTCATCTTAAAATAAATTTAAAGGACAACACCTCTGTGACAAGCACCGGTCAGGCTGCTGGTCCATGTCTGCGGTCTTCCCTCTGGATACCAGTGGCTTCCTGACTCCTACCTGCCACCTCCTTCCTGTTAACACAGAGGCCTTACCGGACTCTTGTCCCCTGTGGTTCTGCTGCTTACGTGGTCCCCATGCAGAGCTGCATGTCTGCATCCTTCTACTCTCGTCTAAGTTGACTCACCCTTTGTAACCAACGGCACAGATGCTGGTCTCCTGGCCAAGCATAGTGCACACAGGTAGATCCATTCTCCCCCTCTCTCTCTCTGACCTCCCTCGGACCCAGAGTAGTATGTCAGTAGAACAAGTTTATAATGAAAATGTTCCATGTGGTTGAAGAGTCACTCATCTTGAGTGGTATTAAACACCTGAAATGTGGCCAATGAGACTAAATTTTATACTGTAATTAAATTTTAAATTACCTAAATCTTAGTAGGTACTTGTGGGTCATGTCTACCATTTTGGATGGTGTTGGCATAGAGAACTGAGTAGAATAATCTAGTCTGGCACCCAGGCTCTAGAAATGCCTATGCCCTGGCCATTCACCTCTTGTAGATGTTAGAACACCATGGTAGTGCTGCAGGGCCTGGGCCTGGGCCTGGGCCACTCCTTGTCCTGTAAGGGATGCTCTACTCCCCCTACCCTGGTGCCCCACCAGATTCAATGTCCCCTCCTGCAGCTCAGTCTGACATCCCAAGCAGAGAGGGGTCTCCCCTATTCACCCACAGACAGGCAATGGGACCCACCTGAGCTCTTCCATCACCCCTCAAGGGGTTAAAGTACCAGAACCCAAAACACCACAAGAGTGTCTCCAAAGCAGGAGGGACAGATCCCATGTTCAAAGCCACAGCCCTGCGGCAAAGTGGCCAGAGTTTGGTTAAGGCAAGCAGGGCCCTTCAGGCTCTCCCCCTTCTATCAGACTCCTTCCCTGAACTATATCCCAGGTGCTCGTCTCGTCTCCCAGGTCCTAGGCAGTGGAGATCCTTAGCTCCGCTGTCACTGAACACCCTGACCACACAGCAGGGACCCCAAACCCTTCCTCAGCACTTCCCCCAACCCTCACATGCATGCTGGTCATTTCCCTAGGGGCACACGCCCTTCTGGAAAAGCAACTGATTTGTGATTTTTTTTTTTTTTAACCCAAACTCACCCATGGGTAGTCTGAGCCCCTTTACGTGCACATTACCATTTCCTGGGCCACCTCGTCGGGGGTCTCCTTCTCCAAGTCAAAGGTAAACTCTATGGCTCCATTGTCTTTGGGCTTGCCCTTCAGCTTCTTGGGGTCTTCCACCCAAAGCCGCAGGGCTATGGTAGACTTCCTGCCGTGGTCCTCCTCTGCAAGTTCCACCCGGACGCCCGTGTCTTCCGCGAAGAAGGCGTGACTCAGCAGGTCCTTGATCTCATACCTGCAGGGTAGGTGGCTCCCAGGCAGGGCTCGGGGACAAGGGGCCTCCATACCCATCTACATGTACATATGAGGTCACCACCCAGCACACCGAGGTTCTGCTAGAAAGTTCTCCCACGTCATTCCCGGTGGGCAGGCTCTGCCCCAGAGGTAGGACACAGGTGTGCACGTGAGCATTCCTTAATCCCCAGGAGATGCTGAGAATATATGATCTGATATGCTCTTGTTTCTTGTTGCAATGTTTTAAGACCACCCCCCCACCCCGTTATAAAAAGAAATCCCACCCTGTACCAGGCCACCTGCTAGGCAAATAGAAACAGACCCTGCTGAGGTTCAGGTGAGTGTTCAATCCTCATCAGAGACTCCTGGCTCAGGGTGAATGAGAGGAGTTAGAATCTCAAATACACAGGGTCCCTGGGCCTCACTGCAGCAGAGAGGTTAGAAGGGAGCCTTTCTCAGGAGGCAGGGGTGTGGAAGAATAGAAGCAAACAGTCAGAGGTAAGTAAGGACTTGCTAGGCTTAGGGGTTTGGAGCCAGAACCCAGCCACAGACCGGAGGCTCCAGCAGGGGCCCAGGTCATCTGGCAGCTAGCTGTTGCTATATGATCACTTCTAGCTCCAGGAAGTCATGCCTCCCAAACACACAGCCCTAACCACTATGTCTGGTCTGTTCTCTAGTACAAATCCATGCAGCGTCCTCCGGGCATCATGTTGATGGCAATGAACACCAGCTACCCATCCCTGTCTATTCCTGAGAATGTCACGTGGACGGGTGAGTATACGCCAGTTTGAGGGCTAGGAAGGCTCAAAGGCACCCCTAGTTTCCTGGCTGTCCAGCTGGGAAGGCCAGTCCTGTTTTGAAGAGGAACTGACTTTGTAGAACAACTGAGGGGTCCAGAAGTGAACTCTGCGGCCTGAGAGATGGCTGGAACAAGTACTCCTGTGTACAGCCTGCTGTTCAGAAGAGCTAACAGGGCTGAGGCACATGAGAAGCCTGGGCATGGAGATGTTCCTTAAGGTCACTGAAATGGGGACGACTAGAGAAAGAGCAAAGGACAGAGCAAAGGTCTGGGTGCCCAGCACCTCAGGCTGGGTTAGGAGCCTACCTCGGGCGGCAGGAGAAGATGTGGGTGCTACACTGCTCACAGCAGCTCACTAGCCTGGTGTTGCATAGCTTGAGCCAGTCTGCCTGACCTGGGAAGTCTGCATGGAGAATGCAGCCCAGGACGCCAGCTGGACCAACATCAGCTGGACCACACCACAGCCTGCAGCGCTGGAGCTCACCTTTCCTCTTTGTTCTTACAGATGCACTCTCCGATGATCTCCTTGATCTCAGGATCATGCACCTTCTCAAAGCTGGCCGGCTTGATGCCCTGAGAACAGAGCAGAGTTATCCAGCACCACCCAGAGCTGGAGGCACCATCGACACCCCCAGTGTCTCCACGGCTCAGCTTGCTACCCAGGGCACTTCCCAGCCTGAGTCCTGGGACCCAGCAGAGCCTGGGGCCTCATTGAGTTGAGGGTGGAGCTGTGGGCAGGGAAGCTGAGGAGCCTATGAGGCAGAGTTCTGGAAAAGAAAGAGTGATAGAGCCCATATGTCTACATCCCCTCAAGCCTTTGCTTAAAACCAAGATAAGTACCTAGTCAGCACCACAGATAGTAGCAAAGAAACATCAAGGACCTTAAGGCTGAGCCTGAAGGGATGCGGTAATAGTATAGTGTGTGATGATCAAATAAAAACTACTAGAAATGCTAGGAGGCAAGAAGACACAACTCACCTAGAAGAAAAATCAGTCTACAGAAATGAGAACGTGCTGCAAGTTGGAGGCAAGGGGCAGGGGTAAAACTCACAGCAGCTGTTCAGGAGTTGAAAAAAAATACTTCTGGTGACAAGCAGAAATTATAGATACAAAGAACTGACTAGAGATGGGAACTTGACAGAAGAGAAGACAGGGTAACAGGAGCTGTCGGGCATGGAGCTGAGAGACAAATGGACACATGGCTGTGTCCTTCACCTCAGAATCTGTGACACTAATGAGGTGCAGGTTGGCACATAGTACACATAAAAGCAGACCCCCAGAAGGACAGGACGGGGAGCAGTGAAGGAAAAGGAGACATACTTGAAGGCAGATGATGGCTTAGGCAGGAACTGATTTCTATGTAAGCACAGGGCCCTGAGTTCAGACGCCCAGCACTCGAGTAAAGTCAGGCTTGTTGGCACTGGGAGAGGTAGAGACAGGCAGATCTTGGGGACTCATGGGCCAACCAATCTACAGCTCTAGGTTCAGTAAGAGACCCTGTCTCAAAAGTAATGTGGAGAGTCAATTGAAGAAGACACCTTGATAACCTCTGGGTCCCACACGTGCCTGCATGGGTGAATACACACACACACACACACACACACACACACACACACACACACACACACACACACACACACACAGAGAGAGAGAGAGAGAGAGAGAGAGAGAGAGAGAGAGAGAGAGAACACATACTAGAGAAATGATGGTTAAGATGTTTCCAACTTGAATGAAAACTCCAGGCCTATGGATGTATCACACTCAAGCCCCAGGCTTGAAAGCAGAATGGGGAAGAAGCAGACGGGTGACAGGAAGCCTTATGACCCTCTAAGCTCTTCCCTTCAGCATAAGGCCAGTTGCCAACATTCCTCCCCACTCAGGTCTGAACAGAGGACATCCTGGCTATGTAAAGCATCCCCAGCTCAAACTCAGGCCAAGGTCCTCATCCATGCTGTCACAAGGATCACCATCTGACAAAAATATGCAGCACAGCCTCCACCTGTGCAGTAGACGCTGATGCTGTGGCTGATGCTTCAGATCCAGCAGTGAGCACCTACAAAGCTGTCCCTGTGCTTGGCTGCAGAGTCTCTGGAGCAGAGGCCCCAGGACTTCCCATACAAGCTGCCCCTCATCCTGGAGAAGAGCCTCAGCCACAGTGGGTTCCACACTTCCCAGAGTCAGGCCTTTCAGCCCACGCCTGGGCTCCTTCCCCAGGAAGTCAAGAGCACTGTCTGTGGTCACTGCTTCTGGCCACAGGCCAGGAAGAGACTTGCGAGGGAGAGGGAACCACTGGCCACTCCGAGAGCACAGCTAATCTCCCCTGTCAGAAGCAGGAGCTGCCAAGGTTCATTTACAATCTGCTCAGTTATAGGGGGAGGAAGCAACTAATTACAAAAAATAAAATAAAATACCCTGAAGACACCAGCCCTCCTAAGCATCATCCTTCAGCAAGATTCAGCCTTTAAAATCCCCGCCCTTTTCCTTTCTGAAGACTATAAAGAAGGGAGAAATGGAAGGAGGAGGAAGAAGGGGGTGAGGAAGAAAGGCGAGAAATACACCTGCTGAGCCTGGCTGTTGAAGCCCCACGTGGGACAGACAAGAGTAAAGAACCTCGGAAGGTCCAGCCTTGTGCTGTCCCCAGCCCAGACTACAAACCACCACCTATCATGTATAGGACAAGCCTGAAACCCAAGGTTCCTTTCCCATATGCCACACCGATACCACCAAGATCTCTTAGGCCTTCAACAACCTGCTCGGCAGATAGCCCCTGACTCCCTGGAGTAACTTTACACCTGTGTGGGCTTCTGGGACAGGGCACCAGCCAAGAACTCTTGCCTGTCACCACCTAGCTATAGTGCGCACAGGAGAGGCCCAAGGCAATTACATGACATAATTTGGATCTAACAGCAAAAGGAAAGAGTTGCATACCATCTTCAAGAGGGCTCATTAGGGTGGATGGGCCCAGGGTGGAGCTACATGGGTGCCTAGGCCATGCACGGCTCCACACACACCTGCAGAGAACCTCTGCCGCACAGGCACCTGGAGCAGAGATGTA